TATGATAGCCATGTTCAAATATATAAAAGGATGTCACATAGAGGAGGGAGAAAGGTTGTTTTCTGCTGCTCCAGAGAAGCGGACATGGAGCAATGGATCCAAACTACCAGAAAGAAGATTCCACCTAAACATTAGGAAGAACTTCCTGACAGTAAGAGCTGTTCAACAGTGGAATCTGCTGCCAAGGAGTGTGGTGGAGTCTCCTTCTTTGGAGGTCTTTAAGCAGAGGCTTGACAACCATATGTCAGGAGTGCTCTGATGGTGTTTCCTGCTTGGCAGGGGGTTGGACTCGATGGCCCTTGTGGTCTATTCCAATTATATGATTCTATGATTCTATGATTCAATGGACCATCTAGTCACAGAATCATAGAAAGGGGTGCCCAAGGGCCATCTAGTCCAACCCTCCGCAATGCAGGAATCTCAACTTTCTTCACGCAGGCATAATTTTATAAGCCCCCATCCTGTTGCCTTTTTACTCTCCTTTCCTCAGCGGTGTCCGAATTTTTTTCAACGAGGGCCAGATTTGATGAACTGAAGGGCCAAATTTGTTGACCTTTTTTTTAGTATTGAATTTCTTGAGCTTTTTTTTTAGGATTTTACCTCAGGAAATAAACAACTGCCACAGGGGCCGGATTGAACTGACAGGCGGGCAGGATTAGGCCCCCGAAACGGACTTTGGACATGCCAGCTCTACACCATGCGTAGGCAACCTAAGGCCTGGGGGCCGGATCCGGCCCAATCGCCTTCTCAATCCGGCCCACGGACGGTCCGGGAATCAGTGTGTTTTTACATGCGTAGAATGTGCCCTTTTATTTCAAATGCATCTCTGGGTTATTTGTGGGGCCTGCCTGGTGTTTTTACATGAGTCCAAAGTGTGCTTTTATTTAAAATGCATCTCTCGGTTATTTGTGGCGCATAGGAATTTGTTCATCCCCCCCCCCCAAAAAAAAAATAGTCCGGCATGTAAAACGTTCAGGGGTAAGCAAGGAAATAATAAAAGAATCAGCTGAACAATGATTAAATTAAAACAACACAACAATACGGAAGAAGTAAAAATAAAATCACAGATGGGTGAAGGGGAGCGGGGGTGTGTGTAGGGGAATTTGAAATATTATTTATAAAAAGCTTTAATATAAAATTTCTAACTGTGTTGTATTTGTATACAGCAAAGAGAAGTTTACAGTAATTAGGTATATCTTAATTTAGTTGTGTAATTGGTTAGAAAATGAATATGGATGTTGAATTGATGTAATTTTTCTTTTTTCGGTGATATATATATATATATATAATCCGGCCCCCCACAAGGTCTGAGGGACAGTGGACCGGCCCCCTGCTGAAAACGTCTGCTGACCCCTGCACTAAAAAGTCCCAGGCATTTCCAGACTCCTGGATCTTGTCCCCATAGATGGAGGTGGGGGGCGGTCTAGGGCAGGGCCCTCCTTGCCTGTCAAGAGGGAGGCAGGCCGGCCCCCTCTCCAGGAAGGATGAGCAGGTGGAAAGCAGCTTAAGGAAGATCGGTCCAGCCCCCTGACCCAGGGGTGGGGGATAGAGAAGGGATTAAGGACAAAGTGATTACCCCAAACTCTCCTCCACTGCCCTTGCTCTCTTTGGATGCTCTCCACCCTGGCAGGGCCTGATCCTGTATGCGATGCTGGCTGGTTTTCTCCCTTGCCAGCTGCGTGAATCTGCGGTTGCGCCCACCCCAATCTCCTAGAGAAAAAGGGATTCTCTCTCTCTCTCTCCCCCCCTCAATTTTTTTTATTAGTTTTCACGATATTATAAACAAACAAACAAAAACACAAGACAAACAAACATAAATCACAGCCTTATGGAAAATTCCAGTTATTAACTTTGTTAAGTGACTTCCTCGCTTCCCCTTGGTTGAATTTCATTGCATGTCCTTTTAACGGTTTTCCAAATCCCAATTTTTATGAAATTTAACTGAAACATTAACATCCTTAGATCTTCACCTTATGGAATTAAACATATTCATTACCGTATTTTTTGCACCATAACACTCACTTTTTTCCTCCTAGAAAGTAAGGGGAAATGTCTGTGCGTGTTATGGAGGGAATGCCTACGGGTGGCATGCCTACGGATTTTCCTCCTCTAAAAACTACGTGCACGTTATGGTCGGGTGCGTGTTATAGAGTGAAAAATACGGTAATCACTTAACATAAATAAAATCCTAAGCCCATTAAGTATCTGCAAGCTATTTCCGGTTAATTTAACTTAACATATTTTACTAAATAATCATTAAATTTATTCCACTCTTCCTGATTCTCTCTTTTTAAATTTTTATTCATTTTTCTTTTTCATTCATTACATACATCTCAATTTCTTAACATTCACTGTATATTCCTTCCCTCCAAGGTTTTCCCCAAGTTCCGCTTCTGGTTCGTTTCTATTTTCACCCATTTTGCTATCTCTTAACAGAAAAAGTTATTTATAACATAACATCAAACCTAAAGACATAAAAATAACAGTAAATACACCATCATATTTCACTGTCTTCTAATGCTAATAATGTGAATGTCTATTTCAATCCTGCCATCAAGTCTATTAACTTTCTTTGCTTCAGCAAATATACCGTATTTTTCACTCTATAAGACGCACCAGACCACAAGATGCACCTAGTTTTTGGAGGAGGAAAACAAGAAAGAAAATATTCTGAATCTCAGAAGCCAGAACAGCAAGAGGGATCGCTGCGCAGTGAAAGCAGCAATCCCTCCTGCTGTTCTGGCTGCTGGGATAGCTGCGCAGCCTGCATTCGCTCCATAAGATGCACACACATTTCCCCTTTTTAGGAGGGAAAAAGTGAGTCTCATAGAGCAAAAAATACGGTATTCCTCCCTCCTTCCTCTCCAAGGTTTTCCCCAAGTTCCGCTTCTGGTTCGTTTCTATTTTCACCCATTTTGCTATCTCTTAACAGAAAAAGTTATTCATAACATAACATCAAACCTAAAGATGTAAAAATAACAGTAAGTACACAATCATCTTCCACTGTCTTCTAATGCTAATAATGTGAATGTTTATTTCAATCCTGCCATCAAGTCTATTGACTTTCTTTGTTTCTGCAAATATAATATGAATGGTTCCCGATCTTTTTCCAAAGTCTCCGTTGTCTTTTTCTCTTAGTCTGTCATTTTTGCCAGTTCTGCATACTTCATCAGCTTCTCTTGCCATTGTTCTTTCGTTGGTATTTCTCCAGTCGAGAAAAAGGCATTCTCAACAGATAGGTTTTCTCCGGTGGAGAAATTGGAAGTATACATAAGCAGAAGAACACAAACCTATACAGTGGTACCTCAGGTTAAGTACTTAATTCGTTCTGGAGGTCCGTTCTTAACCTGAAACTGTTCTTAACCTGAAGCACCACTTTAGCTAATGGGGCCTCCTGCTGCGCCACCGCTGCACGATTTCTGTTCTCATCATGAAGCAAAGTTCTTAACCCGAAGCACTATTTCTAGCTTAGTGGAGTGTGTAACCCGAAGCGTATGTAACCCGAGGTACCACTGTAATGGGGCACAGTTGGGGGTCTGCCAGCCCCATTGGGTGTCATGGTCCAGAGTCCTGGCAGGGTCCCCGTTTCCAACATCCTAGAGCCGCTCCATCAGTCTGAAAGGGTAAATATCCAGCCATCGTGTGCCCCAAAGCTAAGCATTTAATAACAGCAGAAACAGCAGGTGCTTCAGTTCCAAGAGAACAATGAGCAAGTTATCTCTCTTTTTTTGTATATAATTTTTATTGAATTTTCTGTTTGTTTTACCATTTAAAGTACTCCTTTTCACATCCTTTTTTTTTTAAAAAAAGAGTTTATTAGATGAACAGATTCTTAAAACACATGCAGTACGAACAAAATAACATTCACTATGTTATAAAGATTATAAAGATTATAAATATAAAAAGAAAAGAACAGAAAAGAACAGAAGAAAGAAAAAAACAAAGAGAAAGAAGAATGAAAGTGTGAATAAAGGCAAAGACATAATGTTATCCACTGTTTGAATCAGCAAAGAAAGGAACTTCCGACTATGCCCATTGTACTAATTTACAAGTAAACTATTATTTACACAGTTGTGTGAAGTTGTTTTTCGTTAACTTAATTTAACATTATCTAACAAATACTTTTTATTGCATGGCTCATTCAATATCAGCCAGAAAGCATTTATTATTGCAGTACCCTTTGAGTGCCACTGTGGGTTAAACCACAGAGCCTAGGACTTGCCAATCAGAAGGTCGGCAGTTCGAATCCCCGCAACAGGGTGAGCTCCCGTTGCTCGGTCCCTGCTCCTGCCAACCTAGCAGTTCGAAAGCACGTCAAAGTGCAAGTAGATAAATAGGTGGGAAGGTAAACGCCATTTCCATGCGCTGCTCTGGTTCGCCAGAAGCGGCTTAGTCATGCTGGTCACATGACCCAGAAGCTGTACGCCGGCTCCCTCAGCCAATAAAGCGAGATGAGCGCTGCAACCCCAGAGTCGGTCACGACTGGACCTAATGGTCAAGGGTCCCTTTACCTTTACTTACCCTTTGAGACCCTCGGACCCCTGACTTTGTGACTCCTTGCTTCTTGATCGTCGGACCCCTGACTTCGTGACTCCTTGCTTCTTGATCCTCGGACCCCTGACTTCGTGACTCCTTGCTTCTTGATCCTCAGACCCCTGACTTGCTTCTTGACCCTCGGACCCTTGACTTCGTGACTCTTTGCTTCTTGACCCTCGGACCCCTGACTTCGTGACTCCTTGCTTCCTGACCCTCGGACTCTTGGCTTCCTGACTCCTGGCTTCTGGACTCCCATTCCTGCTCCCACCCCGCCATCTTGCCCCTGGTCCCGACGTCCCCAGCTGGGACTTCGATCGCCTGTGAACCGGACCATGACAGCACAGTGCGCTGTTGTTGGCTTCTCCGCAGCCCCCGAGGCAGCGAGGCGTGCAAAACCCTGCTGCCCCTCAGGGATGCTGTGTGGTCCGTTGCCAGGGAGACACAGAATCTAGAACTCTGAGCGGCATCTCAGGTGAGAAGGATGCTCTGTGCAAGTGTGCCTCCAGCTTGTCTACGAGGCTGGCTGTGCTGGGGTGCGGGAGAAGAGGGGAAGGTGTTCAGAATGTGACCCTCTGGACCGGGGTGCCAGTGCTTCTGAATCATCTCACAGATTTGGCCTGGGAACCGAAATCCACTGATGGAGCAACCTCCTGACAGTAAGGAAGAGGGGTGTGCTTTGAAGGTCAGAGAGAGGGAGGGGGAGAGAGAGAGAGAGAGATGGGATTGTGTTTGGAGAGAGGTGTCATAGACACTGAGGATGGTGATGAATTGAATTTGTATACTGCCCTATACCCGTAGATCTCAGGGCGGTTCATCACATAAAATTGCAACATCAAAAACAGAAAATAAATAAGTACCTTGGTTTAAGGGATGCGGGTGGCGCTGTGGGTTAAACCACAGAGCCTAGGACTTGCTGATCAGAAGGTTGGAGGTTCGAATCCCCGCGACGGGGTGAGCTCCTGTTGCTGCTTGGTCCCTGCTCCTGCCAACCTAGCAGTTCGAAAGCACGTCAAAGTGCAAGTAGATAAATAGATACCGCTCTGGCGGGAAGGTAAACGGCATTTCTGTGCGCTGCTCTGGTTCGCCAGAAGCGGCTTAGTCCTGCTGGCCACATGACCTAGAAGCTGTACACCGGCTCCCTCGGCTAATAAAGTGAGATGAGCGCAAAACCCCAGAGTTGGCCACGACTGGACCTAATGGTCAGGGGTCCCTTTATCTTTACCTTGGGTTAAGAACTGGTCATGTTGTTTGGATGCCTGATGATCATTTTCCTAAGCAACTACAGTGGTACCTCAGGTTAAGAACTTAATTCATTCTGGAGGTCCATTCTTAACCTGAAACTGTTCTTAACCTGAGGTACCACTTTAGCTAATGGGGCCTCCCACTGCTGCCATGCCACAGCCGCGCAATTTCTGTTCTCATCCCAAAGCAAAATTCTTAACCTGAGGTACTATTACTAGGTTAGCGGAGTCCGTAACCTGAAGCATCTGTAACCCGAGGTACCACTGTACTAATAAGAAGAACAAAAACAAGCCAGGAACACCCCTTCGACAACACATTTAAAAGGGCATTGGGTAGGCCAGGGGTCAGCAACCTTTTCCAGCTGTGGGCTAGTCCACAGTCCCTCAGACCTTGTGGTGGGCCAGGCTATCTTTTTTTAGGGGAGAAAGAACGAATTCCTGTTTCCCACAAATAACCCAGAGATGCATTTTAAATAAAAGCACACATTCTACTCATGTAAAAACACGCTGCTTCCCGGACCGTCCGTGGGCCGGATTGAGAAGCCGATTGGGCCGCATCCAGCCCGCCCGGGCCTTAGGTTGCCTACCCTTGGGGTAGGCCCAGATTTTGTGTCTCCTGCAGACTCAAAGCTGAAATGGTCTTTAAGTTTGTTTTGCACCTCTGAAAAAGTGAGTCTGCCGCCTCCAGCAGCTGTTGCATGATCTCTGCTGCCTCCTGCTGGACACAGTGGCAAATGCAGACATAGTCCCGGACTGCAGTTAGACAGTCATCCCTGTAGGACGCAGGTCCTGGATCACTGCCTTGCCGTGGCGAAGGGGCTTGAATAACTCAGAGAAGCTATGAGCTCTGCCGTGCAGGGCCACCCAAGATGGACAGGTCATAGTGGAGAGTTTTGACCAAACGTGATCCACCTGGAGCAGGAACCGGCAAGCCACTCCAGTATCCCTGCCAAGAAAACTCCATGGACAAAGACAACAGGCATATAAAAGTTATGACACTGGAAGATGAGCCCCTCAGGTCGGAAGGCGTCCAACATGCTACTGAGGAAGAGCGGAGGACAAGTACAAGTAGATTCAGAGCTGATGAAGCGGCTGGGCCAAAGCCGAAAGGACGCTCAGTTGCGGATATGCCTGGAAGCGAAAGGAAAGTCCAATGCTGTAAAGAAAAATATTGCATAAGAATTGATGCTTTTGAATTCTGGTGCTGGAGGAGACTCTTGAGAGTCCCATGGACTGCAAGAAGATCAAACCAATCCATTCTGAAGGAAATCAGCCCTGAGTGCTCACTGGAAGGACAGATCCTGAAGCTGAGGCTCCAAGACTTTGGCCACCTCATGAGAAGAGAAGACTCCCTGGAAAAGACCCTGATGTTGGGAAAGATGGAGGGCACAAGGAGAAGGGGACGACAGAGGACGAGATGGTTGGACAGTGTTCTCGAAGCTACCAGCATGAGTTGGACCAAACTGCGGGAGGCAGTGGAGGACAGGAGGGCCTGGCGTGCTCTGGTCCAGGGGGTCACGAAGAGGCGGACACGACTAAACGACTAAACAACAACAAAGGGCCGGCCCACTGCCTCAGGCGGCAGGATGAGTAGGGGCAGCATATCCCTGTGTAGATCTTTAACTCACCCCCCACACACACTTTGTTCCTGATGTAGATCTTCACTCACCTTTCTTCCTTGGTGGCAGGGGCGGTGTGTGTGTGTGGAGATGCCATTTGGCAGTTCCCCTCAGGGACAAAATTTCAGGGGACCATTCAAGAGTTTCCCCCCACCCTGCACCCCCATGCCTGAGAGTTGCACCCAGCACCCTCTTCGTCAGGCCAAGGAATCGCAAATTGGGTGGTGCATAGAAAAATAGGAAGCTGCTTTGTCCTGAGCTATTGTTCTGCGTAATCCAGTGTTGTCTACACTGGCAGGCAGCTGCTTTCCAGGGTGTCAGGGCAGGAGGCTATCTGCAGATGCTCCTCCACTGAGCTTACCCAAATAGGCACACCTGAAGCTGCCTAATACTCAGCTACCCATCTAGCGCAGTACTGCCAACACTGACTGGCAGCAGCTGTCCAGGGTTTCTGGTGGGGAACCTGCCCAGCCCCACCTGGGGACTGAACCTGAGCTATGGCCCTTTCCAGATAGGAATGCGGGAATCAGTGCTGAGTTCATCTAGCTCAGTATGGGCTGCTCGGACTGGCAGCAGCTCTCCACGGGGAGAAAAATACCGTGAGCCTTCTGTAGTTCGAGGCTGCCATCCTTATTAGACTTTACTGACTGGCGGGGTCTGCGTTGCTTCCGGGAGGGAGGAAGGAAGTCAAATGACACTGAGGTTGATTCAGAGAAAGAGTTTATTCTGCTCTCCAGATAGCAGAAGGCACTTGAGTGGTCAGTCCGCAGCAAGTCCAAAGAAATGAGAAGTTTCATGCAGTATATATATCCTCCAGGCACCCTCTCCCCCCTTCCCCAGGAATCCAGCCACGTCAGCTTATACACGCAGGTTGACATCACAGATGTTCCTGCTCTGGTACTCTTAACCACAAAAGGGGTTTCCTCTTCCTGTACTCTTGACCATAAAAGGTTGTTTCTGTTCCTATACTCTTATCTTGGGGCAGGAGGTCACCAACTCCTGGCGCCGTTCCCGGGTCTCTTGTCAGACTTGACAAGGTCTGTGCGTCTTTGTGGTCAGGATGTAAGATAAGACCCAGACGCGTCATCCCTGCTCTACTGGAACTGGCAAGGCCACTCATTGCCGTCACAGACTGATAAGGGAGAGAGCTTTGAGCACTTGTTTATCCAGCTGGGTTTTGGCTCAAGAGCTCAAGTTAGAGCATTTTAGAAATGCTCCCTTGGAGGAGGAAAAATGGGGATTTTGGGTCTGTTTCAAACTGACTGCACAGAAACCCATTCCTTCAGTTTAGGCTGAGAGGAAGAGACTGCCCCCCCAAGGTCACCACCAGCCAGGTGGATTTGAACCTCTCCCAGGAAGTCCGCGCGGGCACTTCAAGTTTGCATGCCGGGTGTTTGTGTGTGCCCAGTTGGGGACAAATGTGGGGCTGGGCTGTGGGTCTCGGCTGGTGCTGAGCTTGCTCCCCTACCGTTGGGTGTGCGTGCCAAGCGGACAACCCCGCCTGCTCCTTGGTGCGCGTCCATTCGAGCGCTTGCGCTTGAGAATAGCAGAGCTCGCCATATGGGAATGCACATTTTCGAGCACTGCGCGCGTGTCTGGGGGCATGTCTGAGTGCCGGGAAGTGGGGGAGAGCCACGCGCTGATGCTCCCCGGCCCGGGCCATCTGCCAGGATGTGCGAGTGTATGCTCTGGCCCCCTGCAAAAGCACAGGCGTGTCGGTGGCTCTGAAGTCGTGAGGTTTTAACCTTTGGCTAAAGAGCAGGCGTCGCCAGAAACGCCACGGCCGGGTGTCCATTTATGTGCGCGTTTTGCGCTTTGTTGCGAGCCCTCCACAGCGGTTACGCGCGCGGAATGGCGAGCCGGAGACGCCTCCGATGTTTCCCGCTGGGCAAAAAGCTCGGCTGCGCGCTCCTGGGTACCGATTTCCAGCGCGCAACAGAAAGCATCTTTGGGTACCGGCGCGAGCGCGCCAAAGAGGTGTCGCGTTTGGGTTGCGCCAGACCGGGTTGTGAGGATGGGCTCCGGGTAGCGCCAGCCCTCTGTCTCTCTCTGTGTGTGCGCCTTCCGCCAGCCTGGGGGTGGGCCCTGCCTCCTCCCCCTCCTCCCCCGCCTCCTGCTTCCCCCTCCCCCCCTCTGTCTGCTTTTTCGCTCCAGAAACAGCCATGGAGGCAGCTGAGACGCAGCTGCTTGGGAGGCGGACAGAGAGAGCAGGTCAGTGATGGGGGGGGGGGTTGATGGAGGGGAGGGGGGCGCAGCCCTAACTCCCGCAAGGACCCCCGCAACCCCCCTGCTCCCCTCCCCTTGCATCACCGCAGCCTTTCCGTTGCGTCCCCTCCATCCATCTCCCTTCCAAGCGCCTTCACCTCTCCAGGGTCTCTTCTTCCGCTCCTCCTTCCCGTACCCCCCCTCTTTCTCCTCCCCCTCTCCACTTTCCACCTGTGGCTGCCCTTCCCCCCACCCCGCCGTCCTGTGCCCATCTTCAGGGGCACACGCAGCCCTCCCCGCTGCGACCCTTCTCCACCCATCTCTCTCTTTGCAAAAATATAGTCACACCTTGCGCTGGTGACATCACGGGCGGTGGTTATGTCATCCGGCGGGCGAGGAGGGTACGTGGTGGAAAGTCCAGTCTCTTTGCTACCCGAGACCCTTTCCCCAAATATACACCTCTTGAGGAGACCCGGCCCCGCTTGGAGAGCAGGATTTGGGGGCAAACCGGTGGAGAAAAAGGAATGCAAAACGGGAGTTTTCTGGAGAGCGCGCGTCCTGGTGTAGGGGAAGTGGGTTTTTTGGAAATGCGGCTAAATTGTGTGTCTCTAACACACACACACACACACACACACACACACACACACACACACACACTGGACGCTCCATCCTTGCGATCATTGAGGAGTTAGTCCGTTTTCCTGCCCCCCTTCCCCGGTTCCATCTGGACCCCACCCCCTTGAAATTGTGTCTGAAAGGGCTGCAGCGAGAAAAGGGCTTCTCTTTGTCCAAGAGGAATTGAATCTCTCTCTCCGCCCCCCTCCAGCTGCCCACCCGATTTCTCTCCCTCCCCCCCCCCCCAATTGACCCAGTTACATAACCCTCCAAGAAAGAAGCGAGGATGCGATCTTCGGAGACTGGTGGGGTTGTGGAGGCCTTAGGAAGAATGTATCCCATTAGGGATACATGCGTTGGGTGGTCTGTGCCCCATAACAGAACGCTGGTGGGGCTTGGGGGCTGTCCAGCCCTCCCCACCCTCACCCCAGATTGCCCCACTCTGCAGACACTGCAGCAGGCAGAAGTTCAAGGGGCAGATGCACGAAAGCCCTTCTTCACGCAGTGCAGTTAACCTGTGGAACTCCCTCCCACAGGGATTTCAAAGAAGGTTAGACAAATTCATGGAGGAGGAGAAGAGGGTTATAGAGGCAGCGGTGCTTCTGGATATCGGCTGCGGGAGGGAAGAGGGCTCTTGTGGTCGGATCCTGTTTGCGGGTTTCCCACAGGCCTCTGGCTGACTGCTGTGAGAAGAGAGTTCTTGACTCGATGGGCTGTTGGCCTGACCCAGCAGCCTTGTCTTGGAATCATCAAATTGGAGAGTTGAAAGGGACCCCCAGGGGTCATCTAGTCCAACCCCCTGCAAGGCGGGAATCTCAGCTAAAGCATCCATGACAGAGGGCCATTCAACCTCTGCTTAAAAACCTCCAAGGAAGGAGAGTCCACAACCTCCAAAGGCAGACCGTTCCACTACCAAACAGCTCTTACCGTCAGAAAATTATTCCTGATCTTTAGCCTGAATCGACTTTTTTTGTAACTTGAAGCCATGAGTTCAGGTCCTACATCCCAGAGCAGGAGAAAAAACGTTCTTACATTCCCATAAGGTGCTAATAATAATAACAACAACAAATTTTTATTTATATCCTGCCCTCCCCAGCTGAAGCCAGGCTCAGAGCAGCTAACAACAATAAAAGTAACACAGCATTCTAAAATCAATTCATTCTAAAATCAATTCAGAATCAAATTAATGGCAACCATTGGGCTAGAGTTCTGTGAGGATTACCGAAGGAGGGGGTCAGACTGTCCCTTGGCCAAAGGCCTGGTGGAACAGCTCCATCTTGCAGGCCTTGCGGAAAGATGTCAAGTCACGCAGGGCCCTAGTCTCTTGTGACAGAGCGTTCCACCAGATCGGGGCCACAGCCGAAAAGGCCCTGGCTCTGGTTGAGGCCAGCCTAACCTCCCTGTGGCCTGGGACCTGCAAGATGTTTTTGTTTGAAGACTGTAAGGTCCTTCGTGGGACATACTAGGAGAGGGGGTCCCATAGGTACGAGGGTCCTAGGCCGTAAACATGTGAATGTATAAAGCCCTAAATGACTCAGGCCCCAGAGGGGAACCTCTTGAGAGTTCCTCCATCCTCTGAGGATCAGGATGGTAGCCTGGGAGAAAGGGCCTTTTCTGTGGTGGCCCCTAAACCATGAGACTCCCTCCCCACAAAGGCATGTCTGGCACCTTCATTGCACAGCTTCTGGAGGATGCTGAAGACACTTGTCCCTGGCCTTTAACCCTTCAGGTGCATGTTTTTTAGGACCCATCTTATTTCTGTAACTGCAAGTTATTTTAAACTGGTCTTACTTAACATTTTGGGGACACGGGTGGTGCTGTGGGTTAAACCACAGAGCCTAGTGCTTGCTGATCAGAAGGTCGGTGGTTCGAATCCCCATGACGGGGTGAGCTCCCGTTGCTCGGTCCCTGCTCCTGCCAACATAGCAGTTCAAAAGCACGTCAAAGTGCAAGTAGATAAATAGGTACCGCTCCAGCGGGAAGGTAAACGGCGTTTCCGTGCGCTGCTCTGGTTCGCCAGAAGCGGCTTAGTCATGCTGGCCACATGACCCGGAAGCTGTACGTCGGCTCCCTCGGCCAGTAAAGCGAGATGAGTGCAAAACCCCAGAGTCGGTCACGACTGGACCTAATGGCCAGGGGTCCCTTTACCTTTACTTAACATTTTAACATTCAAAATCTTGTGAGCCGGCCTGGGGGAATATTAATAAGAATAATGAGCTTGCCAGGTCTCGCTTGACTTGCAGGCTCTGTATTAAGGGGCAGATCTTTATTTCACAAGAATTCTCTGCTGTTAAGAAATATTGCCTGCCGCAAGCTGTTGTGGAGATTGCAAACGGAATTGTGGGGTCATCCTAGCCACACCTGGCCAGTTAGCCTCCAACTCTGATTCTATTCCAGCTTGCAAAGAGAATCCGGGAGTCTGAAGAGCCTTTTCCCTGCCTGCCTCGTTCCCCAGGGGGCTGCTGTCGGTTAGAATAAAACAGGCATTGTGGTCAAATGCTCTCAATAACGCAGCTTCTTCTTCTTTTTTTAAAAATAATATTTATTACTTTTCCAACAATTTAAACACTACAAAAACAATACAATACAATACAAAAACACTACATAACATTAACACATTAAACACATTGAACTAACAAAACAAAACAAAAACAGTTTAAAACACATCAAATAATTTCAATATCTTATCTTTCATTCACTTATTTCCACGACCTCCTCACACCTCCCTTTTTGTATTCCACTTCTGTTAATTGTTTCAGCAATTCCTTTCCATCTTCCTCTGCTTTCTATCCTTTAATTATCTTAACACATTCTAACCTTATTTTTCCCTTTAATACTCTATTAATCTATTTATACTTAATTCCTTATAACATTTCTACTAAAGCCATATAACTTCATTCCAACATTTTTCTAACATTCATTAATTTTACAGTATTTCTGTAAATAGTCTTTAAACTTTTTCCAGTCTTCTTCCACCGACTCTTCTCCCTGGTCTCGGATTCTGCCAGTCATTTCCGCCAATTCCATATAGTCCATCAACTTCATCTGCCATTCTTCCCGGGTGGGTAAATCTTGTGTCTTCCAATATTTCACGATGAGTATCCTTGCTGCTGTTGTTGCATACATAAAAAAAGTTCTATCCTTCTTTGGCCGTGAATAACGCAGCTTCTTTGCCCCCGTTGAGAACGACAGCAAAAACTTCTCACACCACGTTGCGTATTTGATTTCTCTCTTATACTTCTTGGCCTCTTAGAACAGGGCTGCTGTTTAGCATTTGTTTAATTAACAAAATATAGATGCATCTTACTAGACAAAAGACCTTTAGAAAATAATAATAATAATAATAATAATAATAATAATAATAATTTATTACTTATACCCTGCCCATCTGGCTGGGCTTCCCCAGCCACTCTGGGCAGCTTCCAAAAAAATATTAAAATACTGCAATACATCAAACATTAAAAGCTTCCCTAAACAGGGCTGCCTTCAGATGTCTTCTAAAAGTCTGGTAGTTGTTTTTCTCTTTGACATCTGGTGGGAGGGTGTTCCACAGGGCGGGTGCCAACACCGAGAAGACCCTCTGCCTGGTTCCCTGTAACTTGGCCTCTCGCAGTAATGGAACTGCCAGAAAGCCCTCGGCGCTGGACCTCAGTGTCCGGGCAGAACGATGGGGGTGGAGACGCTCCTTCAGGTATACAGGACCGAGGCCATTTAGGGCTTTCAAGGTCAGCACCAACACTTTGACTTGTGCTTGGAAACATACTGGGAGCCAATGCAGGTCCTTCACGACTGGTGCTATATGGTCTCGGCGGCCGCTCCCAGTCACCAGTCTAGCTGCCGCATTCTGGATTAGTTGTAGTTTCCGGGTCACCTTCAAAGGTAGCCCCACGTAGAGCGCATTGCAGTAGTCCAAGCGGGAGATAACCAGAGCATGCACCACTCTAGCGAGACAGTCTGCGGGCAGGGAGGGTCTCTTCCTGTGTACCAGATGAAACTGGCAGACAGCTGCCCTGGACACAGAATTGACCTGCGTCTCCATGGACAGCTGTGAGTCCAAAATGACTCCCAGGCTGCGCACCTGGTCCTTCAGGGGCACAGATGCCCCATTCAGGACCAGGGGGTCCTCCATAGCCACCCACTCCCTGTCCCGCCAAAAGAGTACTTCTGTCTTGTCAGGATTCAACCTCAATCTGTTAGCCGCCATCCATCCTCCAACCGCCTCCAGACACTCACACAGGATCTAAACTATTTGCTAAAAAGAGCAGTAAAAGAAAATGAGTTAGCATAAGAATAATTTTTTTAAAATTACAGGCTAACTTGGGACTCTTTGGAGGTGGTTAGACTACGGCTCCCATCACTCCCTGACTATTGGCCATGCTGGCTGGGGCTGATGGGAGTCAGTCAGATTCCCCAACTTTGCCTCGGAAGGAGACCTCAGAGGTCATTTAGTCCAACCCCCTGCTGACACAAGAATCTTGTTTTGAAGCATCCCTGATGGACAGGCATCCAGACTTTGTTTCTACACCTCTAATGAAGGAGACTTCATTACAGTCAAGAAGTGCACCCTAACGTTTAGCCAAAATAATAATAAGTTATTATTATTATTATTATTATTATTACAGTGGTACCTCGGGTTACATACGCTTCAGGTTACAGACTCCGCTAACCCAGAAATAGTACCTCGGGTGAAGAACTTTGCTTCAGGATGAGAACAGAAATCGTGCCCCGGCAGCGCGGCAGCAGTGGGAGACCCCATTAGCTAAAGTGGTGCTTCAGGTTAAGAACAGTTTCAGGTTAAGAACAGACCTCTGGAAGGAATTAAGTACGTAACAAGAGGTACCACTGTAATTATTATTTATACCCCTCCCATCTGGCTGAGTTTCCCCAGCCACTCTGGGCGGCTCCCAATCGAGTGTTAAAAACAATACAGCATTAAATGTTAAAAACTTCCCTAAACAGGGCTGCCTTCAGATGTCTTTTAAAAATAAGATAGCTACTTATTTCCTTCACATCTGATGGAAGGGCGTTCCACAGGGCAGGTGCCACCACCGAGAAGGCCCTCCGTCTGGTTCCCTGTAACCTCACTTCTCACAGTGAGGGAACCGCCAGAAGGCCCTCGGAGCTGGACCTCAGTGTCCGGGTAGAACGATGGGGGTGGAGATGCTCCTTCAGATATACTGGACCGAGGCCGTTTAGGGCTTTAAAGGTCAGCACCAACACTTTGAATTGTGCTCGGAAACGTACTGGGAGCCAATGCAGATCTTTCAGGACCGGTGTTATGTGGTCTCGGCGGCTGCTCCCAGTCACCAGTCTAGCTGCCGCATTCTGGATTAGTTGTAGTTTCTGAGTCACCTTCAAAGGTAGCCCCACGTAGAGCGCATTGCAGTAGTCCAAGCAGGAGATAACAGGACCCCCTTTCTTTTATTTCTAACCTTAAAATTGGGCCTGTGACTCAGCTGCTGCTCAGAGGTTTGCAGAACGGAGTGCAAATTCATAAGAAATTGTTGCTGATGCGTTAATTTATATAAAGCATAAAGCCAGGATAGCTTTGCAAGCGCAAAAACCAATTGCACGAATATTAAAATATAAACACCCATAATTAAAATGCACGATAAAGCAATTCCATTAGAACATTACAGTATAGGCACCCATAATTAAAAGAGGCAAGGAAGTAATTCCGTTAGAACAACGCGGTAATTAAAACAGAAGTCTGGGGTGGAGAACTCGAGGGAAAGCCTGCGTAAATGGAGGGTTTTTTTTAAAAAAAAGCCGGCAGAATGACAGTGTAGATGGGGAAGAGCAGTAGTGCATGCAGAAGGCTCCGAGTTCGATTCCTGGCACCTCCAGGTAGGACTGAGAATGCCCTCAATCTGAAACTCAGGACAGCTGCTGCTGGCTGTGGGAATTTTCAGGGATGCAGGAGAGGATATATTGTTTGATTATATCCTTTTCCAACTTGTATAAACAAGTTCCACAATTTAGCAGAGTAACATTCCCCTTTTTAAACTTGCAGCGGATGCGTTTGCTCAGGCTCGCTAAAGCCCCTATAATAACTGTTCTGGTATTTTCCCCTTATTCCCTCATAAAAGATAAGACACGACACAGTCTTCTATAAAAGTATAAAAAGAGTTTACTCACATTCTGTTCACAATTGGATCCCAAAAGGCAGACTTAGCTTAGAAAAGTAACATACACTTGGAAACTATCTCATAAGGAGACAGTCCCTTTGTCCTCCCTTGGCTTGAAGCCAAGAGAGCATCTTTGGCTAAGCAGATGTTGCTTCATCGATGCATGTAGTCAAAGAGAGAGAGAGATGGCTGCCCTGCCCTGTGCTTTTGTCGTTACCTGCACAGGTGAGGCCACGCCCACCTCTAGTCACATGCAGAGGAAGTTTGTCCCAGCCCAGAAGGAAACAGGAAGTTGACCTGCTGGCTGGACAAACATTCCTCCCCATGTGTAAACATGTGCACTCTAGGAATGTTGGACTTGACTGCTCTTGTGTTTCACATCCCACACTGGCCAGTGAAGACGATACTGGACTGGATGAACCAAGAGTCTAAGCCACCTTCCTGTTGCTGGAAACCCCAGGAGGGGAGGGGGTGCTCTTGTGGTCAAATCCTGCTTGCATCTGGTTGGCCACTGTGGGAACAGGATGCTGGACGAGATAGGTGTTGGGAACGAGCCATCAATAAATCACACTGTGCAACTGGAGTTAACACTTTAGTAGCCAGAACATGGTTTCCACAGAAGCACCAGACCTCATGAGCAGAGCAGTTCTTATCCGTTGGTCTTCCAGTGGCCGAGACAGAAAGTTCCCACCTCCCCGCAGCTGAACTGGTGCAGGCCTATAATAATAATAAATTTCATTTATACCCGGCCCTCCCCAGGCAAGACCGGGCTCAGGCCGGCTAACATCAGGTATAAAAACAGTTGATTGAAATACAACTTAAAAAAACAAGATTAAAATACAACATTAAAATGCAGCCTCATTTCAGTAGAAACTCAAATCAAAAACTTTTCGGGGGAGGAAAACATCAAGTCTTCACCAAGGCTAACTGTACAGACTGGTCCTATGTGGGCCAAAAAAAAAGCCAGGGAAGTCCCCAAATAGGAATTCCATCACAGAAGGAGAAAGGAAAAAAGAAAGAGAGGGAGGGAATCAAATTGATTCCAAGCCAAAGGCCAGGCGGAGCAACTCTGTCTTACAGGCCCTGTGGAAAGAAATCAGATCCTGCAGGGCCCTGGTCTGAGAGAGAGTGTTCCACCAGGCTGGGGCCAGTGTTGAAAAGGCCCCGGCTCTGGTTGAGGCTAATCTGACTTCCTTAGGGCCTGGGACCTCTAGGGTGTTGCTATTTATGGACCTTAAGGTTCGCCGCAGGGCATACCGGGAGAGGCGGTCCCGTAGGTACGAGGGTCCTAGGACATGAAGGGCTTTAAAGGTCAGCGCCTAGTGATCCCAGCACCTCCTCTCAGTAGGCCTTGCCCCAAGGAGGCAGTTGCAAAGACTGAAGGTCCACACCTCCCCACCGCCATCTAGGTCTCCTCACCTCCAGGGTTTTCCCCAAGCAATCGGAGACTGCGCCTGCATGCAGCCAACCTCTCCTTCGCCCCTTTTCATGCCTCTTCTGGTTCTGGAAGGCAAGGTGGGAGGGGGCCTGTTGCAGCAGGAGGGTGAGACATCCTGGCTCATCTCCGTCACCTGGCTGCCCTCCTTCTGCCCCTGATACCGAACATCTCTCTATCACAGACTCTCTCCACTCACTAAGCCCTGTTACCCCTTCCACTTCTGACACCTTCTCCTCCCAGTCTTCTCCCTCTGACCCCTCATTGTCGCCCCACCACCAATCCCTGGGCTCTTGCATGCTCTGCTCTGTGCCATAGGGTGAGAAGCCTTGATGCTATTTCTATGCTTCGTCCTGTGGGATGTGATACCTAAGCAGCAGTCAAGTACAGTATTCCTTGTTTTCCTAGAGTGGATGTGCGAGGGGATGTTTGGACCAGCCAGTCGAAAACTTCCTGTTTCCTCCTGGCTGGAGCTTCCTTCCTTTGCATGTGACTAGACGTGGGTGTGACTTTACCTGTCCAGGTAACAAAAGGACAAGGCATGCTGCCACACTCTCTCTCTTTGACCTCCTCCGTTGTTGGAGCAGCTTTTTAGTTAAAGATGCTCTGTTGGTTTCCAGCCAGCAGTGGACACTGGGGTTATCCCCATATGGGATAGATCCACACGTATATACTTTGTAACTAAGTCTGTCTTCAGGGATCCAACTGTGAACTGAATGTGAGTAAACATGTTGTTGTTTAGTCCTTTAGTCGTGTCCGACTCTTCGTGACCCCCTGGACCAGAGCACACCAGGCACTCCTGTCTTCCACTGCCTCCCGCAGTTTGGTCAAACTCATGCTGATAGCTTTGAGAACACTGTCCCACCATCTCGTCCTCTGTCGTCCCCTTCTCCTTGTGCCCTCCATCTTTCCCAACATCAGGGTCTTTTCCAGGGAGTCTTCTCTTCTCATGAGGTGGCCAAAGTCTTGGAGCCTCAGCTTCAGGATCTGTCCTCCCAGTGAGCCCTCAGGGCAGATTTCCTTCAGAATGGAGAGGTTTGATCTTCTTGCAGTCCATGGGACTCTCAAGAGTCTCCTCCAGCACCAGAATTCAAAAGCATCAATTCTTTGGCGATCAGCCTTCTTTATGGTCCAGCTCTCACTTCCATACATCACTACTAGGGAAACCATAGCTTGAACTATACGGACATTTGTTGGCAAGGTGATGTCTCTGCTTTTTAAGATGCTGTTTAGGTTTGTCATTGCTTTTCTCCCAAGAAGCAAGCGTCTTTTAATTTTGTGACTGCTGTCACCATCTGCAGAGATCATGGAGCCCAAGAAAGTAAAATCTCTCACTGTCTCCATTTCTTCCCCTTCTATTTGCCAGGAAGTGATGGGACCAGTGGCCATGATCTTCGTTTTTTTGATGTTGAGCTTCAGACCATGCACACAAAAGCTTATACAGTCATGCCTCTTGTTACATTTGCTTCACATTGTGGCTTTTTGAGTTGTGAATGTGGCAAACCCGGAAGTGTATACTTCCAGGTTTCACCATGCGCACACATGCAGAAGTGTTTTGCACGCTTTGCACATGCGCAGAAGCGCTCTATCGTGCTCCGCACTTGCACAGAAGTGCCGCTCTAGTTGCTGACTTTTTGGGGTGCGAATGGCACCCCGGAATAGATCATGTCCACAACTAAAGGTACCACTGTACCAAGAACAAACTTAGTTGGTCTCTCAGGTGCTACTGGACATTTAATTTTTAAAAAAAATATATCTTTCTTTTATATACTTTACACAAGATTGTGGTGTGTTTATTCATTTAAGAGGGATATAAGGGAACTTACCAGGAACCTGATAGTGAGAGGCTTACACAAGCCTGCAACCAGTTATCTGCTGTGCATTTAAAATGGGAATGTGAAACTCTGCTAAGTTATAGAACTTGCTAGCGCACGTTAGGAATAATAATAATAAATAATACATTTTTATTTATTCCCCGCCCTCCCCGGCCAAGACCGGGCTCAGGGCGGCTAACACTGAATATAAATACAGTAAAAACATTAAAAACAAAACAAAACAAAAACAAAAACAGTTGAGGAAGGATATTAATAAACAATATATCCTCTCCTGCTTCCCTGAACATTCCCACACATCTGCCTCCTCCTGAAGTTCTGCTTGTCTGCCAGAAGATGGCGAAAGCTGCTTGCGTTAACATGGTGGGCGGCCGACTCTCCTTTCTTAGAGGTTTTTAAGCAGAGGTTGGATGGCCAACTGCAAGGGATTCAGTACTCTCAGGGGGTTGGACTAGATGACCCCCGGGTGTCCCTCCAAACTCTACGATTCTCCTCTCCCGTTCTGCCTTTTGCTGACAGAGGCATGTTTCCTCCCAGGTGAGGTGGAGACCCCCAATGTCGAAATAAACGAGTTGGAGGAGGAAGATGAGGAAGATGAAGAGGAGGAGGAGGACGACGACGACGAGGTGGAGGTCAGGAACTTGGACTCTTCGGACGACGAGAAAGAGCCGGACGAGGAGAAGCAGCTGGAGTTGACAGCCCAGGTGATGCGTTTGTTGGACGAGCTGGAAGAAGTCCGGGAGGTGGCCCTCAAGCACGAAGGGGATTCCCTCGAATTGCAAGGTGGGTGTCTTGCCTCAGGGCTGCGGGGTCCCTGGAACCTGCCAATTTTTTCAGGTCGTGTCAGTTTCCTCCAGACGACCCACTTGTGGAGCGATCTGCTTGCACAAATCTTATGCAGAAAGTTAGATCATATGTCTGCTCTTTGGTATGCGTTCGCACAGACTGGCTTATGGTTCTGAAAGTGGGTGCTAGCCCCCCCGGGGGTTGGTGAGATTACCAGGTGGTGCCAAGGGGGCAGGGGGGAAAGCAGAGAGGAGGCCAGAAGTGTAAATGACGCTCAGGCTATGAAAAGTTGGATCAAGTCCATGCATTTTATGCCCATCATTAAATTAAGTTGCTCTAATTAAGTTATCTCCCGCTTGGACTACTGCAATGCGCTCTGCGTGGGGCTACCTTTGCAGGGGAACCGGAAACTACAACTAATCCAGAATGCGGCACATTATTGTGAAAATCTGGACAGAAAAGTTTAGCCAATTTCTGCCTGGACACTGCTTTCATCTGCAGTATTCCGGGTATGTCTGGGAAATTCTGGATGTATGGCAAGCCTAACAAGGCGCCATCCAACCGCCTTAAGGACTCCACTCTGGGCTTGTGTAGGAATTTCTCCTGAGCCTCTTCTTCCTCAGAATTTATCCCACAAGGCAGCAGGTAGGATTTAATACAGTGGCACTTTGGTTCTCAAACGCCTTGGTACTCAAACAGCTTGGAACCCAAGCACTGCAAACCCAGAAGTAAGTGTTCTGGTTTGCGAACTTTTTTCAGAAGCTGAACGTGCTCTGTTTTGAGTGCCGCACTTCCGTTTTGAGTGTTACGCCGAGGTCTGCATGTTTTTGCTATTTATTTTCTGTTTTTGCAGGTTTTTTGTTTTGGTTTTGTCAGAGACAGAGCTAGCTGCTCCGGCACATGGAGCGGCGCACATGCTGTGCTCCTGCGGGCAGGGCTAGCCGCCCATGGGGGCAGGGTGAGGGGCAAGTTTCCTGGGGGGGGCACCCATGGTGATGTCACCCCCCCGGGATGACACCTCGGGCGGATTGCATTCCCCACACCCCCATTCCTCCGCCAGTGGTTTTTGTGACTGTGTGGAACCCAGTTCAGCTACTGATTGATTGTGTGACTGCAGTACATTGTTTATTGCTTTCATTTTATGGATCAGTGGTCTTGTTAGATAGTAAAATGCACGGTAATTTGCTGTTTTAGGGGTTGTTTTTAAAAGTCTGGAACAGATTCATCCATTTTGCATTACTTTCCATGGGAAAGTGCGCCTCGGTTTTGGAACGTTTTGGTTTTGGAACGGACTTCCAGAACGGATTAAGGTACCACTGTAAATGGTAAAGGTGCAGGCAGCTTTTAAGCAACATTGCGCAGGGACTGCCAAGCTCAGCCTTGGTTCCCCAGACAGGATTTCACTTTGCTTCTGCAACGGAAGCCGGGGTTTCGGAAAGAGAACTGTGCAACACAGAGGAGCCATAGCAAGGAAGGTGATCTGCACGTTGCTTTTGAGAAGCTGAAGAGAGGGAACTCCTGGCTCTTGAATTTGTGGCTGCCTCCTCAAGAGGTCAACAGTTTATTCTGCTTTTTCTCTCTGCGGCAGGGTTGCTGGAAGACGAGAGACTTGCCAGTGCTCAGCAGGCGGAAACCTTCACGAAGCAGATTCAGAGACTACAAGGTCAGTCCTGGCCTTTGTGTTTGTTTGTTTGTGTGTGTGTGTGTGTGTGTGTGTGTGTGTGTAATGAATTGGTTTACTGATCTAATGCAATTTTATTTAATGTGTAAATATGCCACATTTTCCCGAGCTGGGATTCACGGCAGCTCCTGACATTTGAAAACTTCGCTATAAAATAGCGGTAAGCCAAAAAGACACAACACGTAAGGAAAAAGGGATGGGGCTGGAGAAGGAAAAATAAAATGCAAGCGTAGGCATCTGTTATTAACAGTTAAGGTTCTTACTGGAACCAGCAGGGATGGGAGTGGTTCATGGAGCCCAGCGTGTTTTAACTGTTTACAATTCTGAATTTTAAATTGTTATAACCTTCCCTGGGACCTCCTGGCGGAGAGCGTGGAATAACTTTGATGCTGGGGGTGATAATTGCAAAGTAAGAAAAACTAGTTGAAAAGGATAGCTAAAATGCGTCAAAGCACATTTAGAAGCAGGAACTGAAAATATAATTTACTCTGACAGCAGCCCAGGCATCAGCGTTGTCTAGACATTGGTTTCCAAAGACCTGGCTGAACTGGAAGGTCTTAGTCTGCCAATGGAAAGATAATAAAGAGGGAAAATTCTAATCTCTCCTCAGTATGGGAGCAGCCGCAGAAAAGGCTCTGTCTCACGTTGCTACCAGCCGTGTTTCTGAAGTCGAGAGGCTGAGAGGAGATTCTAAAGGGCACTGGCATAGATGTGAGCCCATCACTGTTGCCAGGGTTTGATTTGGTCTAAAACTGCTCTGTTGTGTCTCGGAAGCCGTTTCCTCCTTCCGTAAGAGCTCAGGCAAATTGGTGGGGGACTTCATTGGTGTCAGAAGTGAGACGTATCACTGGAGGGAAAGAGTCCCTTGCCCAGCCCCAGATGGGGAGGACTCCCTGGTCCTGAATGGGGCAACTGTGCCCCTGAAGGACCAGGTGCACAGCCTGGGAGTCATTTTGGACTCACAGCTGTCCATGGAGGCGCAGGTCAGTTCAGTGTCCAGGGCAGCTGTCTACCAGCTCCATCTGGTACGCAGGATGAGACCCTCCCTGTCCACAGACTGTCTCGCCAGAGTGGTCCATGCTCTGGTTATCTCCCACTTGGACTACTGCAATGCGCTCTATGTGGGGCTACCTTTGAAGGTGACCCGGAAACTATGACTAATCCTGAATACGACAGCTAGACTGGTGACTGGGAGCGGCCGCCGAGACCACATAACACCGGTCTTGAAAGACCTACACTGGCTCCCAGTACGTTTCTAAGCACAATTCAAAGTGTTGGTGCTGACCTTGAAAGCCCTAAATGGCCTCGGTCCTGTATACCTGAAGGAGTGTCTCCACCCCCATCATTCAGCCCAGACACTGAGGTCCCATACAATTCCAAAAATTGCAAATTCAGTTGCTACAATTCCACAGGCACTCACACACGTAAATGGCAAATGTAGAAGAAAATCCTACAGATGCTAGAGAGGGACCCACAAGTGGGTTAAACACCTGTTTGTAGCACCGTAAATGCAAAAAATAAACATTTTTTGGTCCCTTCTTACCGTATGTCTGTTTTGGCAGCGATACCGTGAAAGCCCATTTTTGCAAGGTCGCGAATTTAAGCCGTGCTTTAACTTTTTCGGAATTTTGGGGGGAAACTGCGGCTTATATTTGGGGCCAATACGGTAATATTCTAGTGTAGATCATTTTGGCTTTGTAATTGATCTTCTGGCCCCATTCCAAACGCAAAAGTGGGGTTGGGCTAGATGACCTTTGGGGATCCCAACCAGAACTCTACAGTTCTGCGAAGGGTCACCCCTTTGTCCCCGGTTGCGGCCCCTCTCCTCCCGCAACTCTCGCTTTCTTCCTCCCCAGTTCGCTCGCCGGCCTTTTGATGTATTTTTATATATATATATTTACAATAATATTTATTAATTTTCAATAGACATAACAAAAAAGAAAATATGCAACAACAGAATAGAGAAGTGAAAAAGAATAAAAAAGAATAACAAACTTAAAATACCTAAACAGAAAAAAGAAACTCAATTAATTAATTAAAATTCATTTTCATAAACATTTTAGTTGACTTCCTCTAATCTCCTCCATCTGAATTTCCTCTTAATTTGAATGTAGCAGTTTCCAATATCATTATTTCATAAAACAATATTACAGTTGTATTCGAATTTCTTTACCTTTCTTATAGTACATTTTCTTACTTATATATTTAAGTCTAATTTAGTCCTAGGCCTGATTGGTTCTTTCAAGTGGTTACATATCTTTAATATTAGAATATTTGTTCAAATAGTCTTTAAATTTCTTCCAGTCTTCTTGGTAGTCCTCTTCTTTCTGGTCACGGACCTTTTGATCTATTTATAGGCCCAATATCTCAGCTCCTTCTCGTCGAGCGAGTGTTAATCTGCGTAGAATGCTGCTATAAATAGCGTGGGCACTGTACGGAGGACGCCACGTGTCCCCGGAGCGGCAGGTGGCGAGTCTATATGTGGCGATGCCGCCCGGGGCTTGAGCAATCCATGGGGAACGGGGATGGGTTCAGCCTTGAAGGGCTGGCGCAGGGAGGGACGGCAGGCAGGCAAGACGCTGGGACAGCCTCAGGACAGTTTGGGGTTCAGAGGAGGCCAACTGGTTCTTCCCCAGGGTTTTTTTTGAACCGAGCTTTGACCGCTAGGCGCTGCTGCCTCTTCTCGCTGCAACCTCCGAGATCCCCGGCAGTTGTGAGAGCAAAGCACTGGGAAAGGATCTGGAGGTAGGAGTGCACCTCGTGGCCTTGTAAAGGTAAAGGGACCCCTGACCGTTAAGTCCAGTTGCGGACGAATCCGGGGTTGCGGATCTCATTTCACTTTATTGGCCGAGGGAGCCGGCGTACAGCATGACTAAGCCGCTTCTGGCGAACCAGAGCAGCGCACGGAAACGCCGTTTACCTTCCCGCCGGAGCGGTACCTATTTATCTACTTGCACTTTGACGTGCTTTCGAACTGCTAGGTTGGCAGGAGCTGGGACCGAGCAACGGGAGCTCACCCCGTCATTGCGGGGATTCGATCCGCCATCCTTCTGATCGGCAAGTCCTAGGCTCTGTGATTTAACCCACAGCGTCACCCGCGTCCTGCTTTTTCAGGTTAAAGGTAAAGGTAAAGGGATCCCTGACCATTAGGTCCAGTCGTGGCTGACTCTGGAGTTGCGGCGCTCATCTCGCCTTATTAGCCGAGGGAGCCAGCGTACAGCTTCTGGGTCATGTGGCCAGCATGACTAAGCCGCTTCTGGCGAACCAGAGCAGCGCACGGAAATGCCGTTTACCTTCCCATCAGACCTATTTATCTACTTGCACTTTGACGTGCTTTTGAACTGCTATGTTGGCAGGAGCAGGGACCGAGCAACGGGAGCTCACCCCGTCGCGGGGATTCGAACCGCCGCCCTTCTGATCGGCAAGTCCTAGACTCTGTGGTTTAACCCACAGCGCCACCCGCATGAGAGCAAAGCACTGGAAAAGGATCTGGAGGCAGGAGTGCGCCTCGCCGCCTTGACACCGATGCAAATTGAGGAGATCTACACCAGATGGAGCTTGTCTCCCATGCAAAGGCAGATGCCTTCCATCAAACCAACTCACAAATCTCCAGCACGGCTTTTGTTGGAAGGGCCCTCTTCTCTCTTCACGTCCTGCTCCGGGCTGCATTCTTTGAAATTGCAGTAAATCATAGAATTGGGACCCCAGGGGTCATCTAGTCCAACCCGCTGCAATGCAGGAATCTTTTTCCCCCTCCAATTTTTTATTCTGTTTATAACACAACTAAACAACACAAACAGAAAAACAAACAATACAAACAAATTCTTGTCTTATCCTTATTTTTTCTAAACATTGTTAGGTCGGCTTCCCCAAGTCCCCCCTATCTGATTTTTATTTTACCTCATCTTTAGCAGTTTACATATATCATAATTTCTAACCATTTTTTAAAATCACGCTTACTTTTACCATAAAAATCTTCACATTTTATCACTTACTTTAAAATAGTACTATTTTAAAATACATTGTCTTCTACTTCTAACCCTACAGCCTATATCCACTTCCAAAGCTATTCTAACATTTAAATATTAACATATTTTTTTCAAATATTCTTTAAGCTTCTTCCAATCTTCTTCCACTGTCTCTTCTCTCTGGTCTTGGAGTCTCCCGGTCACTTTGGCAAGTTCCATATAGTCCATCTGCCTCAATGCAGGAATCTTAGCTAAAGCATCCCTGACAGGTTGGCTGTCCAAGCTCTGCTTAGAAAACTTACAAGGAAGGAGAGGCTACCATCTCCTGAACTAGTCTGTTCCACTGCGGAACAGCTCTCGCCACCAGAAAGCTCTTTTTCTTGACGTTCAGTTGGAATCTCCTGTCTTGTAACTCGGGGCCACGGGTTCGGTTCCTACTCTCTGTTGCCGGAGAAAAGAAGCTCGCTCCATCCGCCATGTGACAACCTTAGAGATATCAGTTGAATGAAAATAACAGGAGGACAAGTACACACACCAAAAAGCAGCGCAGTATATCTGGAAGAGACGTGGGTCAAATAGGCAGAGGACGCTAGACCTTTAGGAAAGCCGAATTTCACATTGTACCACAAAGAGGGAGTCCTGTGTGTCTGTATTTGTACACATGTAAGATAAAATCCAAGGTACGCGGGTGTCGCTGTGGGTTAAACCACAGAGCCTAGGACTTGCCGATCAGAAGGTCGGCGGTTCGAATCCCTGCAACGGGGTGAGCTTCCGTTGCTCGGTCCCTGCTGCTGCCAACCTAGCAGTTCAAAAGCACGTCAGAGTGCAAGTAGATCAATAGGTACCGCTCTGGTGGGAAGGTAAATGGCGTTTCCGCGCGCTGCTCTGGTTCGCCAGAAGCGGCTTAGTCATGCTGGCCCCATGACCCGGAAGCTGTACGCTGGCTCCCTCAGCCAGCAAAGCAAGATGAGCTCTGCAACCCCAGAGTCGGCCACGACTGGACCTAATGGTCAGGGGTCCCTTTACCTTTACCTTTAAGATAAAATCCTAAGTGACATTGAGTTGCTTAGGTGCACCATGGGTACAGACTTGTATTTCTAAATGATGACCTCCTGGCTTTATCTTTTTTATAAAAACCCCGCCAACCGATTACCCCGATGATGTCCTAGTTTACTACATGCAGGGAAGATTTTTGCGTGTGTGTCTTTACGTCAAGAAACATTCAGAACAGCGCTGCCACCTGCAGTCTGAAGTGGCATAGGTAAAAAGGTAAAGGTAAAGGACTCCTGGACGGTTAAGTACAGTCAAAGGCGACTATGGGGTTGTGGCGCCCCTCTGGCTTTCAGGCCGAGGGAGCCGGCGTTTGTCCACAAACAGCTTTCCGGGTTCATCTGGCCAGCATGACCAAACCACTTCTGGCACACGAAGGACCATGACAGAAACCAGAGCGCACAGAAACGCCATTTACCTTCCCGCCACAGCGCTACCTATTTATCTACTTGCACTGGCGTGCTTTTGAACTGCTAGGTTGGCAGGAGCTGGGACCGAGCAACGGGACCTCACCCCGTTGCGGGGGTTCGAACTGCTGACCTTCCTGGATCCCTTGCCTCAGGCATCACCTGAACCAAGTCTGGGGCCTGATCCTGAAGAGTCCCAGTCTGCACAGGTTCCCCTGCAACAAGCACCAGCTGGGCCGAGTCAGGGGCCTGAGCCTGCCCTGGCTCCAGATGCAGGGATGACCTCGTTGCCTTCAGCTGGGCCATCACTTACAGCTGCTCCACTACCGGTTTGGTCAGGAGAGGCTGAGGCGGCCTCTGGGTCTAGTAACCCACCAGTGTCTCCCGAGCTGCAGGGACTGAGGTCTGAGTGAAGGAGAGACCTGAGTACTCGCAGGAGGAGTGCTCGCCGTCGAGCGAGACAGGGAGGTGAGTCACCGGGGAATCAGGACCAGCAGTTACCCCAACAGAGATAAAAGGCGGTCAGACCCCGCCCCAGGTTGCGGGAGCAACATTGCTGTTTGCCAGAACCTGCCTGAGACCCTGCGCCTGACCTAGCCTGGCTTCCTGCCTTGACCCTGTCGGACTGACTCCAAGTGGAACCCTTGGATTCGGGACCGGACCTGGACCGCGTGGCTCGGGTTAACCCCCAGCACACCACTCTGTGCAAAGTGGAAAGGAGCTGGCCCTCTGCTGGTCTTGGGGGCCAGCCGGGCAGATGCCCAGTCTTGCCACCCTCTGGGTACAGCCACCACACCTCATTTTGCAAAACTTGTAGTATGGCTCTACCAGGAATCAGTCGCTTTGGAGAAGAAGTGTGGAGTGGCTCCCCAGGAGAGCATAAAGTAAAAGGTAAAAGGACCCCTGGCCATTTGGCCCAGTTGTGGCCGACTCTGGGGTTGCAGCACTCATCTCGCTTTATTGGCCGAGGGAGCCGGCGTACAGCTTCCGGGTCATGTGGCCAGCATGACTAAGCTGCTTCTGGCGAACCACAGCAGCGCATGGAAATGCCGTTTACCTTCCCGCCGGAGCGGTACCTATTTATCTACTTGCACTTTGACGTGCTTTCAAACTGCTAGGTTGGCAGGAGCAGGGACCGAGCAACGGGAGCTCACCCCGTCGCTGGGATTCGAACCGCCGACCTTCTGATCGGCGAGTCCTAGGCTCTGTGGTTTAACCCACAGTGCCACCCACGTCCCTTCCAGGAGAGCATACTTCTGAGTAAATGAGGAAAGGTGATTTCAGACCTCTTGAAACCAGCCCCGATCAACTTTCTTCTTGGCAAGATGCTGTCTGCAAAAAGACTCTCCGAAGCCAATTTTATCAAAGTAGGGTTGGTGAGCCAGACCCAATAGTTTTGGAGTTGTAGATTTTTAAAAAACGTACTGCTTTTTTCCTCGCTTGATATTTATAGACCGGCTTTTAACAGAAGGGGGCTTGCAAGGTGTATTTAAAAATACAGTTTTAAAACGACATCAGCAGAGATGCAGGCTGTTCCCTATGTTCTGTGTGGCTGGGATTTTCCCTCCTGCTCTCCGACCTTTGGCAAAAGTGCCAGGTTTTCTTGCTTTATGCAAAAATCCTGGCATCTTTGGAGAAGGGCTGGGAAAAACCTGTGTCTTGAACATAGACAATGTGGTGCCAGATGGACAAAGGATTTAACTTGGCTGAAAGCAGCTCCCTGTGTCTTTAACAGTCATGCCTTCATGCTCTTGAAGAGAGAAAGAGAATAAGGCTCTGTTCTGGGGCTCTCAAATCCCTTGCTACAAAAACGCAAACTTTTGAGATCAAAACAGACACATTTCCCTGTAACCTAGGAATCACATGTAAACACTGACTGATTATTGTTGAATTGCTTGTTTTGAGTACTCGTGATGCTTGCAGATTTGACAAGGATAGTGATATAGGGAATTTCATGGGTGGGGGAAAGCAACAGGAGTATACACCTGAAAAATGGAACAGCTCTTTTTATTTTTATTTTGCAACCATTCTGTTCATTCAAGTGCAAAATGACATAGTAGGATGTTCCAAAAAGCAGCCTCATTAAAACTGCTGCTGCTATTATTATTATTATTATTTAAATCAAGAGCAGCGAAAGCTTCAGATCTTGGGGTCCCTTGGGGAAAAATGCCTACAGTAGACCCCCTTCTTGCTCGCCCTTGTACCCTATTACAGCACTGCCTCCAGCAACTTGGACGTTTTAGACTACAACTCCATGATGGGAATTGGTTGGTCTGGGTGTTCATCAATGTGCGGATGATACCCAGCTCTACCTCTTTCAAATCAGAACCAGTGAAAGCGGTGAAGTGTCCTCTGTGAGTGTCTGGAGGCGGTTGGAGGATGGATGGCGGCTAACAGATTGAGGTTGAATCCTGACAAGACAGAAGTACTGTTTTGGGGGGACAGGGAGTGGGTGACTATGGAGGACCCCCTGGTCCTGAATGGGGCAACTGTGCCCCTGAAGGACCAGGTGCGCAGCCTGGGAGTCATTCTGGACTCACAGCTGTCCATGGAGGCGCAGGTCAATTCTGTGTCCAGGGCAGCTGTCTACCAGCTCCATCTGGTACGCAGGATGAGACCCTTCCTGCCCACAGACTGTCTGGCCAGAGTGGTGCATGCTCTGGTTATCTCCCGCTTGGACTACTGCAATGCGCTCCATGTGGGGCTAACTTTGAAGGTGACCCGAAAACTACAACTAATCCAGAATGCGGCAGCTGGACTGGTGACTGAGACCACATAACACCGGTCCTGAGAGATCTGCATTGGCTCCCAGTATGTTTCCGAGCACAATTCAAAGTGTTGGTGCTGACCTTGAAGGCCTAAACGGCCTCGGTCCAGTATACCTGAAGGAGCATCTCCACCCCCATCGTTCTGCCCGGACACTGAGGTCCAGCTCCGAGGGCCTTCTGGTTCCCTCCCTGCGAGAAGTGAGGTTACAGGGAACCAGGGAGAGGGCCTTTTCGGTGGTGGCACCTGCCCTGTGGAACACCCTCCCACCAGATGTCTAAGAGAAAAACAACTACCAGACTTTTAGAAGACATCTGAAGGCAGTCCTGTTTAGGGAAGCTTTTAATGTTTAATAGTCTATTGTATTTTAATATTCTGTTGGAAGCTGCCCAGAGTGGCTGGGGAAACTCAGCCAGATGGCCAGGGTATAAATAATAAATTATTATTATTACCCAAAACATCTGGAGGGCACCAGGTTGACAAAGCCTGACTCAGAGCAATTTGGAAAGTTCAGCCGGTGCAGAATTTGGCAGCCAGGTTGCTCACAGGGGCAAGATAGCTTGAGTGTATTACACCGATCTTGGCCCGACTGCTGCTTAGTTTCCAGGTCCGATTCAAAGTGCTGGTGTTGACCTACAAGGCCTCAAACGGCTCAGGACCGCAACCCCCTCAAGAACTGCCTCTCCCCATATGAGCTGACCTAGACCCTGAGATCATCTTCGGAGACCCTTCTTTGTGTGCCCCCTCCATGAGAGTTCCAGAGGTTGGCAACACGAGAACGGGGCCTTTTCAGTGGTGGCTCCCCATATGTGAGATGCTCTCCCCAGAGAGGCCTGCTTGGTGCCTTCATTACATCTCTGTAGCTGCCAAGCGAAAAACCAGGCCTTTGCAGGGGTCAGCAAACTTTTTCAGCAGGGCGCCGGACCACTGTCCCTCAGACTTGGGGGGCTGGACTATATTTTGTATAAAAAATAAAATGAATGAATTCCTATGCCCCACAAATAACTCAGAGATGCATTTTAAATAAAAGGACACATTCTACTCATGTAAAAACATGCTGATTCCCGGACCGTCCGCAGGCCAGATTTAGAAGGCGATTGCGCCGGATCTGGCCCCCAGGCCTTAGTTTGCCTACCCACGGACAACTTACTTCTTAACTTAAAGAAAACAAAAGAGATTATTGTGGACTTTAGGAAATGTAAATTGAATATTCAGCCACTGATTATTGAGGGGAAGTGCGTGAAACAGGTCTTGGTGTTTCGATTTCTGGGAATGGAGTTGAGAGATGCCCTAACCTGGGGAGAAAACAACAAAGACCCGATGAAGAGAGCACAGCAGAGGTTATATTTTCTGAGAATCCTCCAGAAAAACAATCTCTCAAAGGACCTGTTGATGGCATTTTACCATTGTACTGTGGAGAGTGTGTTAACTTATGGTCTGTGTGTGTGGTTTGGGAGCTGCACAGCCAGGGAAAAAACAACGCTGTCCAGGGTTGTAAAGACTGCGGAGAGAATAATTGGGTGCACTCTTCCCACCTTGGATCAAATCTACGCTTCCAGGTGTCATAAGAAAGCTGTAGAGATAGCGCAGGATAGTGCGCACCCTGGAAATGATCTCTTTCAGCTTCTGCCTTCTGGAAGAAGGTACAGGGTTATAAAGACTAGGACTAGCCGCCTGAGAAACAGCTTCTATCAAGTGATTTTGGCTTTAAATGCAGTGTAAGGAGTCTCTGTGGGAGTATATTGTCTTTAATTATGGGGTATCGGAGTTTTTAGGGGGCTAACCAGGTTGGGATAGCTGGGATAGCAGGCTTGTTGGGTTTTGAATGTTTTATGTAGATTTTTCAATTTCGTTGTTCTGTATGGGACAAGGACAATAAGGATTATCATATTATTGTATCGTATCGTATTGACTACTGGTAATCAAACAATCTACGGCTTTTATGGTTTGTTGTTTCTGTTTGTTACTGTTATGTCAATTTTGTGTTTTTGTACTGTAAACCACCCTGTGACCCTCGGATATGAAGGTGTGATAGGAATTTTATGGTCTTAGATATATGTTAAATGTTTATAAGTGTACCAACCAAGCACGCACATAGATCAGCACAGGAAGACCAACCTGGAACCATTTTGATTCCTAAACTGAGTAAATGTTTTCTTTACAAGGTCAAAATGGAAAAGCCTCCCCATTGTCTCTTTCTTCACAAATCCTGTCTTAAGGGCACATTTAAGATATGAATAGGGTGTGAGCCTGTGACCTGGCTCAGGAACTAAGTATTTATCATTACAAAAGACTGGCCAGGCTCCCCAGGCAATCCAATCAAGTAACCTGCCAGACAGGAGATAAACAACATTCAAATTTCTGTTTAGACCGCCTTTTCTGTGATGTAGGTGTGATGTATCTGAGGGGTGGTCTTAGGTTACACCCCTTCTGTGATGCATGTATGATGTTTCTGGGGGTGGTCTTGATCTACAGGGTGGCAATTTCAAAAGTCTTTATAAGGCCTTGCACACCATTTTTCTGGGTTCCTCTCTCCTGCGTGTGAGGGGAGAACCCTGTTGCAACTGTTCAATAAAGATCAGGCTTACTAGCTGCTTTGCTTCTCAATATTCTCTGTTATCTTCTCCTACCAATAGGGAACCTATGTAAGGACTCTATATGGGCTCTTGGATACCCCATTAGGGAAAAGGGCAATTTTTGTTTACAACAAAGGGCAGTATAGAAATTCAATAAATAATAAAAGAACAAACAGCAGGACCAATCCTGCCCAGCTTGTGCCATCACCCTCTGCTCAGTAGCCGTGCCAAGGCTCTGGCCTAGCCTGGGGGGTTCTGAGGTGCCGCCGCTTTAAGGGCCAAAGGGGGCCCCCGAGCCGAGCGCAGGGGCCGGGTGTGGCGGTTCCGTGGGGCCCCCCAAACCGGCCCCGGCCATGGAACTGGGACACTCGTCTTCTCTTGGCTGTGAGTCCCCCTGGGCCCGAGATCAAGGGGTCTGAAACCCCGCGTGGGGCGTTGCCATGGCAGCTGGGCCCCAGAGCAGCGCAACTGCCAGGAGCGGCCCCCGCAGCCCCCTGGAGACAGGTCTGGGGCCGGTCCTGTTCCCACCCCAAAGTCTCCAGCCTCCCCCTTCTCCCCCAGGTGTGGCCCTGGGTTTTGGGGTCACATGACATGCGCCCGGGGCTGAGTGGAAATGCCCTCCCAACGCCCAACCCCAGCAAGGGTTGCCAACTCTTTCCCCTGCCTCTGCTCCTCTGCTTTTAGTAATAGCTTGATTTGCTGGGGTGCCTTCGCTCCCTCTTCACTGCCTGCCCCTCCTACCCACTCTTTTTATGGCAGGATCAAGCTGATGTCTAAATAATAATAACAACAACAACATATTTATTAATAGTCTGCCTTTGCCCCTAAAAGGCGGCTTACAACAGATCCTCCAAGTGTCCCTATTTTACAGATTTACAAAACTGATCCCGGCTTCTGATTTGATCCCGGAATGTCCCGCTTTTCCTTAGGACGTCCCTATTTTCATCAGAGAAATGTTGGAGGGGATGGAGTTATCCGACCCCCGAGCCATCTGAAGGCAGCCCTGTATAAGGAGGTTTTGTAATTTTTAATGTTTTATTATGTTTTTATATATGTTTGAATCTGCCCAGAACGGCTGGGGCAGATGGGTGGGGTATGAACAGTAAAATAATAATAATAATAATAATAATAATAATAATAATATATGACATCCCTGTTTTAATCGGATAAATGTTGGAGGTTATGCATCTTTGATATGCAGAGATGAGTCTCTCAGATGACAATGATGATTTATGAAAGGCATTTTACAACATAAAAACAGAAAATGTGCAATATAATGATTTAAAACACAACTCCCCGCAGACACATTGAAAAGGCCATCAATTGTTTTAATAGCCAAAGGCCTGGTTGAAGAGGAATGTTTTCACCTGGTGCGTAAAGATGTAATGAATGCGCCCGGTGAGGCTTCCCGGGGAGAGCATTCCAGGGATGGGGAGCCACCGCAGAAAAGGCCCTGTTCTTGTGTTGCCACCTTCCAGACCTCCCGCGGAGGAGGCACACAAAGAAGGGCCTCAGAGGATGATCTCTGGCTCCGGGGCAGTGCAGATGGGAAGAGGCAAAGCTGAGATGTTGGTAGTGATTTTTTTTATCTTATTTTTTTTGTATATGATTTTTTAATTAAATTTTCTGTTTTACAATGTACTCATTTTTACACCCTTAAGATACCAGTGACTTCCCTTCTTCTCTTTCCATGGTTCATTTTACATATGATAAATCCCTGCACATTTTACAGAAACTATACCATTCAGTATTCCATTATTACATCCATCAAAACTGATTTACACTGTTGAATTTATCTTAATGCTGCCAGTGTTTTCAGCTGTACAAGTAGTGATATCTATCTATCTGTCTATCTATCTATCTATCTATCTATCTATCTATCTATTTATCTATCTATCTATCATCTATCTATCTATCTATCTATCCATCTATCCATCTATCTATCTGTCTATATCTATCTACAGTATCAGTCTACAGTATCTATCTATCATCTATCTATCATCTATCTATCTATCTATCTATCTATCATCTATTTATCATCTATCTACAGTATCAATCTACAGTATCTATCTATCTATCTATCATCTATTTATCATCTATCTACAGTATCAATCTACAGTATCTATCTATCTATCTATCTATCTATCTATCTATCTATCTATCTATCCAGAGTGGCTGGGGCTACTCAGTCAGATGGATGGGGTATAATAATAATAATAATAATAATAATAATAATAATAATTACTACTATGCTTACTGCTCCCCTACCATCACCTGACCAAGGCAAGAGGCGGCTGAAAAAGGAAGTTATAAAGAGGAGCAGCAGGTTCAAAGAGCGCTCTGGTCCAATTCCTTAAAAATATCAGGACCTGTGGCCCCCGTAATGGCAGCTTCAGAAGATAATGTGGCCCTTGGGCTGCAAAGGGCCAAACTCAGTGACTAATGGAAAGCCCTCGGCTTCTCCCCCTTTGCCTCCTTCTTCCCTCCCTGAATCCAGCTCAGATGTGCTCCCTGAAGGAAGAGTTTGACTCGCTGCAGGAGGTGAAAGATGTGGAGCTGGACCGCTTGGAGCGGGAGCTGCGGGAGGCCAACGAGGAGATCCACAGCCTGCGCTTGGACGCTGAGGAGGCGGCCGCCTTGCACGAGAACGAGGTGGCCGGGCTGCAGGAGGAGATCTGCCGCCTGAAAGCCGAGCTGGAGCGCGTGCAGAGGGTCCGGAACGAGTACGACATGGAAGTCACAGCCCTGCGGGCCGAGATCAACATGAAGCGGCCGGGCACTGGGGACAGCCAGCCTGCCCCAGAGATGTTGGTGGTGTCCCACTTTGATGACCGTCTCGCCTGCACCTCAGAAGAGGTGGCTAGGCTCCAAGGTACAGTCATGTCTCGGGTTACAGACGCTTCGGGTTGCACAATTTTTTTAAAAAATATATTTTTATTGGTTTTAACATGTAAATTATAAAACATACCACACTATTTATTACATATACAATCTTATTGGACTTCCATCAGCGCCTCTGATGATCTTCCGTCTTAACCACTTCTAACGCATTTCTTTACTTTATATTGTCTTTACCTCCCTTAACATACCATCACCCCTTTTCCATTTTTACAATACTTCAAAGTATACCCCTCACAGAACTTCTTGCAAACCTACAAACGTCGTCCAGTCGTCACAAATACTTTTCATATAGTTCGTAAATTTACTCCAGTCTTCGGTAAATTTCTGGTCTCGCTGGTTTCGGATCCTTCCTGTTAATTTGTCTAATTCTGCATAGTCCATTAACTTCATCCTCCATTCTTCAATCGTCGGGAGTTCTTCTTGTTTCCATTTTTGAGCCAATAATATTCTAGCTGCTGTCACTGCATATAAAACAAACTTACAGTCCTTTCTATTTATATCACTTCCAACAATACCCAGTAGAAATGCTTCTGGCTTCTTACTAAATGTATATTTCAACATTTTTTTCAACTCATTATATATCATCTCCCAGAAGCATTTCACCTTTTTACAATCCCACCGCATGTGATAAAATGTTCCCTCTTTTTCTTTGCATTTCCAACTTTTATTACTAGTTTTATACATTTTTGCTAATTTAACAGGGGTAATATACCATCTGTACATCATTTTCATCACATTTTCTTTTAATGCATTACATGCAGTAAACTTTAAGCCTTCCTTCCATAATTTTACCCAATCACACAGTTGTATGTTGTACCCAAAATCTTTGGCCCAGTGAATCATAACTGACTTAACTTCTTGATCTTTCAATTGCCATTGAAGCAGCCATTTATACGGGTTGAGCGATTTCGGGTGGCACACTGCGCTGAACCCGGAAGTACCAGAACGGGTTACTTCCGCGTTTCGGCGTTGTGCAGGCACAGAAGCACTAAATCGCACTTTGCGCAGAAGCGCCGAATTGCGACCCGCTTTAAAAGCAGCTGGTCTCTTGTATGCCCTGGTCCTCTTCAATGGAGCTCAGAAATAGGTGCCCCACTCTTCAGTAGGGCTGACCCCCAAGCGAATGTGCATAGGACCATGGTAGTGAGCAGGGCCGGATTGAGGTTTGATGAGGCCCTCAGCTACTGAAGGTAACGGGGCCCTTTCTATGTCCAGCTGTCCTTTGTCAACAACAAATGGTCGCTGTTTTTTGTGTGGAATATATGCTATATGGTAATTGATGGACCCAATAGGTATCTCAAGCCATTTGCACGTTTTGCCATGCAATCAGTCCATGCAGAATGTAGGCACCCTATATAAAGGTAAAGGGACCCCTGACCATTAGGTCCAGTCATGGCTGACTGTGGTTGTGGCGCTCATCTCGCTTGATTGGCCGAGGGAGCCGGCATACAGCTTCCGGGTCATGTGGCCAGCATGACTAAGCTGCTTCTGGCGCACGGAAACGCCGTTTACCTTCCCGCCGGAGGGGTACCTATTTATCTACTTGCACTTGACGTATATAGAAAGGAGCAAACCAGTGATATTTTAGGGAGCAGGCTAGCAGGAAGGGCCCATTCCTTACATCCTAGGAGCCTACACAACACAAAACACTCTTGCTGTATGTAGGTTTTTTTTTTTATCTTATATTTTGGAAATGTACATCCAGGTTTTTTCCCCTTTAATTTTTTTGGGGGCCCCCAAGAGAGTGGGGCCCTAGGCTATAGCTTGTTTAGCTTATACTTATATCCAGCACTGGTTGTGAGCATATTGGCCTGTTGACTGGGGCTGATAGCAATTGTTGGGGGTTTCCAAAGCAGCATTTATTGTGCGACTGGAGCTCATCATACTTTTGTGATTTTTGCTCTGTTCAGTTGACATTATTGACACCGAAATCCCAGCCTGCATTTCCTTCCTGTTTAATTTGTTTTTGGGTTTTTTCCCTCCTGGGGAGAACCAGTAAGTAAAAAAATGAGCAAATATTTCCAAATTAAACACCCTTAGGGCTCACCCACACTTTTACCACGAGCTTTCCCTATTGTTCCATGGCTGTGCCTTGCGAAAATTCAGCCTCGCCCCCTGAATCAGATCTTATCGGATGCACAGAAAATCCAAAGAGAGGTTTTGCTTAACCGGGCGTCAGTTCAGCGCGGGAAATTGGATTTTTGCAAGGCACAGCCACGGAACCATGAGAAAAAGGTCTCGGACCTGGCAGGGAAATAATCGGTACCCAATGCAGAAAGCCCGCAGTTACGCGCATTTAAGTTGGGTTAAACCATAGAGCCTAGGACTTGCCGATCAGAAGGTCGGCGGTTCGAATCCCCGCTACAGGGTGAGCTCCCGTTGCTCGGTCCCTGCTCCTGCCAACCTAGCAGTTCGAAAGCACATCAAAGTGCAAGTAGATAAATAGGTACCACTCCGGCGGGAAGGTAAACGGCGTTTCCGTGTGCTGCTCTGGTTCGCCAGAAGCAGCTTAGTTATGTGGTTTAACCCACAGCGCCACCCACATCCCAGAAGCGGCTCAGTTATGCTGGCCACATGACCCGGAAGCTGTACGCTGGCTCCCTCGGCCAGTAAAGTGAGCTGAGCACCGCAACCCCAGAGTCATCCTCGACTGGACCTAACGGTCAGGGGTCCCTTTACCTTTTTAAGTCAGCAGAAAGGGGATGTGGGTGGCGCTGTGGTCTAAACCACAGAGCCTAGGACTTGCTGATCGAAAGGTTGGTGGTTCGAATCCCCGCGACGGGGTGAGCTCCCGTTGCTCAGTCCCAGCTCCTGCCAACCTAACAGTTCGGAAGCACGTCAAAGTGCAAGTAGATAAATAGGTACCGCTCTGGCGGGAAGGTAAACGGCGTTTCCGTGCACTGCTTTGGTTCGCCAGAAGCGGCTTAGTCATGCTGGCCACATGACCCGGAAGCTGTACACCGGCTCCCTTGTCCAATAAAGCGAGATGAGCGCCGCAACCCCAGAGTCGGTCACGACTGGACCTAATGGTCAGGGGTCCCTTTACCTTTACCTAACCTTTGCACACGTTCTGTTTTACGCACTTGGCAGAAATAAGGGAGTGGAAGGAGGGTGGGCATCCTGGAAAAAAGAGACTTTGGCAATCTTACCCACCAAAGCTTGAATCAGATGGAATAATCCTCCTGAAATGCGCTGCTCGGCCGCGGCAAATGATGTTTCATCCGGATGGCTGTGCTTTGCAGAGGATCTCCGGACGCTGAGAATTCAGTACCAGGAACTGACCAACGAGTACCAAATCCTGCAGGAGAGCAACAAGATCATGGTCAACCAGCTGGAGAGACTGGAGGCCCTGAAGTACAGGTGAGTCTCCATGTCCTGGGATTGCGCATGGCGGTCAATGGCTTGTGGCAGGACCCCGAGGGGCCGGAACATTTTATTCGATTGCGTTTGTATTCCACCTTTCCTGCAAGGAGCTCAAGGCAGTCTGCCTTGTTCTCCTCCCTCCCAGCTCGATCCGCACAACACTGTGAGGTAGGGGATTTAAACCCTCGTCTCCCATGCCCTAACCCGGTACGCTGTCTACTAAACCACACTGACTCTCTTGCCTTTCCAAATATCAGCTTTAAAGCAAGGATTTTTTGCCGGGAGCAAAGTGGGAGTGGGAAAGAGTTAAAGTCCCTCCTCAGCCCTGCTGCGCTTCTAATCAATAACCTTGCTGCCGTAGTTGCATACATACCGTATTTTTCGCTCTATAGGACGCACTTTCCCCCCTCCAAAAATGAAGGGGAAATGTGTGTGCATCCTATGGAGCGAATGCAGGCTCCTTGGCTTCAGCGAAAGCAACGCGAAGCCTCCGAAGCACAGAGGGAGCGCTCCCTCCGCGCTCCGGAGGCTTCCCGTTGCTTTCGCTGAAGCCTGGAGAGTGAGAGGCGTTGGTGCGCACCGACCCCTCTTGCTCTCCACACTTCAGGGATAGCCGCCTGAAGCCTTCGGAGCGCAGCGTGAGTTCCCACTGCGCTCCGCAGGCTTCTGGTTCCTTTGCTGAAGCTGGGAGAGCAAGACTCTCCTGGCTTCAGCAAAAGGAACCTGAAGCCTGCAGAGTGCAGCGGGAACTCGCGCTGCGCTCCAAAGGCTTCAGGGATAGCCGCGCGCAGCCCCTCCGGCAGGGAGAGGCTGCAAATGGCTATGGCTTCTTTACCCCTGCGCAGCCTCTCCTGGCTGGAGAGGTTGCGCACGGCTAAAGAGGAAGCCAAGACAGCCAGCGGGATGGATCCTGCTCACTGTCTTGGCTTCTTTGCTCTTTGGGGCTGTGGGGCGGGGGGGGGGGGCGGGCTCCCCCTGGCAGCCCCAGCAGCTCTGGGAGAAGCTGAATAAGATATTTTTTCTTGATTTCCCCCTCTAAAAACTAGGTGTGCCCTATGGTCCCGTGCGCCTTATGGAGCAAAAAATACGGTAAATATTGGTCTGACTGTTCTTTTTATTTCCTCTGACATGATACCTAGGAGGAAGGATTCTGTTGTTTTTTTCCAAATGAGAATCTAAACATCTTTTTCAGTTCATTATAGATATTTTCCCAGAATCCCAGTATCTCTTTGCACTCCGACCACATATATAGAATTCTGTTCTCATTCTGAAGCAAAGTTCTTAACCCGAGGTGCTATTTCTGGGTTAGCGGAGTCTGTAACCTGAAGCGTCTGTAACCCGAGGTACCACTGTATCTCCCTCTCAGTCCTTTCCCTCCGAACAGAGCAAGGAGCAAGTCAGACGACTCTCCCTCCCTCGACTCGGACTCCGAGGGGAGCACGGACCACCCCCCGTCCATCAACTGGCGGGCCACGCCCCACGCGAGCGGCAGCGTCTCCTTCAAGTCCATGGAGATGGTGGGCACGGCCAGCGAGGGAGACGAGGAGGAGAAGCTGTCGAAACCGGAGAGCGAGGCTGACTTGCGCTACCAGGTGAGGAGGGAGGAGAGCGAGGCGGATCCGGACCAGGTGCAGGTATGGGGAGAGGTTTTTAAATGGTGTATAATGTATAATTTATTAAAGAAGAAAAAGAGCTCTTTTACATTCTTAAGGCAGCCAGAAAAAGCTGCCTCCTCCAATCAGGGGTTTTCCAGATATTTCAGATATTTCCAGGGGTCTTGCCACCTGGGGCTGATGGGATCTGCAGCCTAATAATAATAATAATAATAATAATAATTTATTATTTATACCCCACCCATCTGGCTAAGTTTCTCCAGCCACTCTGGGCGGCTCCCATTCAAGTATTAAAAACAGAACAGCATTAAATATTAAAAACTTCCCTAAACAGGGCTGCCTTCAGATGTCTTTTAAAGATAGGATAGCTGCTTATTTCCTTCACATCTGAAGGGAGGGTGTTCTACAGGGCAGTCTGGTAAAAGTCTGGGAGTTGTTTTTCTCTTTGACATCTGATGGGAGGGTGTTCCACAGGGCAGGCGCCACCACCAAGAAGGCCCTCTGCCTGGTTCCCTGTAACCTCACTTCTTGCAGTGAGGGAAACGCCAAAAGGTCCTCGGCACTGGATCTCAGTGTCCGGGCAGAACGATGGGGGTGGAGACACTCCGTCAGGTATACTGGACCGAGGCCGTTTAGGGCTTTCAAGGTCAGCACCAATACTTTGAATTGTGCTTGGAAACGTACTGGGAGCTAATGTAGGTCTTTCAAGACCGGTGTTATGTGGTCTCGGCGGCCGCTCTCAGTCCCCAGTCTAGCTGCCGCATTCTGGATTAGCTGTAGTTTCTGCGTCACCTTCAAAGGTAGCCCCACGTAGAGTGCATTGCAGTAGTCCAAGCGGGAGATAACTAGAGCATGCACCACTCTGGCAAGACAGTCCGCAGGCAGGTGGGGTCTCATCCTGCATATCAGATGGAGCTGGTAGACAGCTGCCCTGGACACAGAATTGACCTGCGCCTCCATGGACAGCTATGAGTCCAAAATGACTCCCAGGCTGCACACCTGCTCCTTCAGGGGCACAGTTGCCCCATTCAGGACCAGGGAATCCCCCACACCCACCCGCCCCCTGTCCCCCAAAAACAGTACTTCTGTCTTGTCAGAATTCAACCTCAATCTGTTAGCCACCATCCATCCTCCAACCGCCTCCAGACACTCACACAGGACCTTCACTGGTTCCAATTTAAAAGAGAGGAAGAGCTGGGTATCATTCACATAATGGAGAACACCAGCCCAAACCCCCTGATGATCTCTCCCAGCGACTTCGTATAGATATTAAAAAGCATGGGGGAGAGGACGGAACTCTGAGGCACCCCACAAGTGAGAGCCCAGGGGTCTGAACACTCATCCCCCAACACCACTTTCTGGACACTTTCAGGAAGGCTCCCCGAGGTCAGAGAAGGCCGGTAACCCTCCCTGCAGGTCAGAAACAACAAGGCACAGAGTTTTTGGATGGAGGGCACAGCTTGACCCTCTTGCCCTCTGTGCCCCTCTTCTTGCCCTGGCAGAGCGACCAAGCCTCACGCAGCCAGCGCAGGACGGAAGACAAGGACCATCTCGACCTCCCGGAGTGGGCAAGGAGAGCGGCAGAGCGGAAGGTGGGAGAGGCAGCAAGAGCAGGGAGGGAAGACGGAAGTGAGGTAGGCATGATGTATAGGAACAGGTGCTGATCAGGAGTTTGGTGGGAAATCCATGTGCTTCAGCTTTGCGTTAGCAGTACAGTGGCCTTCCTTACAAAGGGTCCAGTAAAATATGCATGCAAACTGCAGGAGTCTGGGCTTGGTGGTTGTTGTTGTTTAGTCGTTGAGTCGTGTCTGACTCTTCGTGACCCCCTGGACCAGAGCACGCCAGGCCCTCCTGTCTTCCACTGCCTCCCGCAGTTTGGTCAAACTCATGCTGGTAGCTTCAAGACCACTGTCCAACCATCTCGTCCTCCGTTGTCCCCTTCTCCTTGTGCTCTCCATCTTTCCCAACATCAGGGTCTTTTCCAGGGAGTCTTCTCTTCTCATGAGGTGGCCAAAGTATTGGAGCCTCAGCTTCAGGATCTGTCCTTCCAGTGAGCACTCAGGGCTGATTTCCTTCAGAATGGATTGGTTTGATCTTCTTGCAGTCCATGGGACTCTCAAGAGTCTCCTCCAGCACCAGAATTCAAAAGCATCCATTCTTCGGCCATCAGCCTTCTTTATGGTCCAGCTCTCACTTCCATACATCACTACTGGGAAAACCATAGCTTGAACTATATGGACCTTTGTTGGCAAGGTGATGTATCTGCTTTTTAGGATGCTGTCTAGGTTTCTCATTGCTTTTCTCCCAAGAAGCAAGCATCTTTTAATTTCATGACTGCTTGGGCTTGGTAGCCAAGTATTAAGTTTTCACCCGCCAGCTTCCAAGTCCAGTCAAGCCGCAGACTGGTGTCACCATATTGTATACATTTATTAATACGGATATTCTTTGGAGAAGTTGATATAACTCACAGGCTGCTCTCAGGGTAACCTGCAAACCGGATCCCTTGCAGGGAGATTAGACCACGGTTGGCTATTTAATGGGCACTCGTTCTGGGGAAGCTAGATGATGTGATGTCAAAGCAAGGGCCAGTCCACACTGTCCAGTGTGCTCTCCCATCACTTTCCTTACCGCCATCAGTCTCCTTTCTTGTGACTTGGAAGCCACGGATTCGAGTCCTGCCCTCCGGAGCAGGAGAAAACAAGCTTGTTCCCTCTTCCATGAGATATTTGAAGATGGCTCTCATATCTCCTCTCAGTCTCTTCTTTTCCAGGCTAAACATACCCAGCTCCTTCAATGGTTCCTCATCAGGCTTAGTTTCCAGACCCTTGATCATCTTGCCTGCCCTCCTGTGCACACCTTCCAGCTTCTCAACACCCTTCTTAAATTGTGGTCTGGACACAGTATCCCAGGTGTGGCCTGACCAAGGCAGAATAGAGCGGGACTATGACTTCCCTTGATCTGCACACAATACTTTTGTTGACGCAGCCTAGAATAGTGTTAGCTTTTTTTTGCTGCTGCATCACACAAGACCCCTTCCTCCCCACTACGGTAACTGCACTACCTGAATCTGAGGGGTTGCATCTGCAGAGCCTGGTCCCGTATGGGGAACTGCCCCACAAACCTCAGTCCGGCCCTGACCTGCCTGCCTTATTTTTGACCACCAGTCCAGGGAGGTAGCCCTGCCTGTCAGATTTCCCCTCCTCCTTCACTCCAGGGCTTCTGCCTGCCAAACTTAGCAAAGGGGAAGAGGATAGGGACGAAACTAGAATCAATTGGCTGTGTTGTTGCGTTCCGAAGGCAAAGGAAGGATTGGACCCTGATTAATAAAATACACACGAGGCTTGGCCAGCAAGACTCTGGGAGGAAGTGCCAGTAATAATCTGTCGCATCCTTTTTTTTTAAAAAAAATGATATTTATTAACATTTCAGAGAATACAAAAATTACGCAAAAACAAAAAGTAAAAATACAAGAAAATACAAAATACAGAAGAAAAAAAAATACATAAAATACATAAAAAATAAAGAGGAACATAGAAAATAAAAACAATTAAAAACAGATTAATTTTCCCTAACATATCCTCCTTACCCTTATTTCCCCGAACCTCCTCATACCTCCCTTCTTTGTATTCCAGTTCAATTTGTTAGTTCAGCAAATCCTTACCATTAAGCTTTTATCCATTTGTGGATCTTTTTTTTCATATCTCTTAAAGCATTACAGCTAGAAACCACTTAGTTTCTATCCAACATCCTTCTAAAATTCATTAATTTTACAATATTTCTGTAAATAGTCTTTAAACTTCTTCCAGTCCTCTTTCACTGACTCTTCTCCCTGGTCTCGGATTCTGCCAGTCATTTCTGCCAATTCCATATAGTCAATCACCTTCATCTGCCATTCTTCTAGAGTGGGTAGGTCTTGTGTCTTCCAATACTTTGCAATGAGTATTCTTGCTGCTGTTGTAGCATACATAAAAAAAGTTCTGTCCTTCTTTGGCACCAATTGGCCGTCAATGCCCAAAAGAAAGGCCTCTGGTTTCTTCAGGAAGGTATATTTAAATACCTTTTTCAATTCATTATATATCATTTCCCAGAAAGCCTTAACCTTTGGGCACGTCCACCAAAGGTGAAAGAATGTACCTTCAGTTTCTTTACATTTCCAGCATTTATTATCAGGCAAATGATAGATTTTTGCAAGCTTGACTGGGGTCATGTACCAAATAATCTGTCGCATCCTGGCCCAGGTCCCTTTTATTAACAAAAGAACTTTTAACAAGCGCTTGTAAGAACCAATCAGATTTCCTCTGAGCATTTCGAAAAAACCACATGGGACAAAGTTAGATCAGAGAAATCCTTTTAACTACAAAGAACTAATTTGAGCATGTGTACATGTTCAGGCATGTAGGGGACGCGGGTGGCGCTGTGGGTAAAACCTCAGTGCCTAGGACTTGCCGATTGTATGGTCGGCGGTTCGAATCCCCGCGGCGGGGTGAGTTCCCGTCGTTCGGTCCCAGCTCCTGCCCACCTAGCAGTTCGAAAGCACGTCAAGTGCAAGTAGATAAATAGGTACCGCTTTATAGCGGGAAGGTAGACGGCGTTTCCGTGTGCTGCGCTGGCTCGCCAGTTGCAGCTTCGTCACGCTGGCCACGTGACCCGGAAGTGTCTCCGGACTGCGCTGGCCCCCGGCCTCTTGAGCGAGATGGGCGTGCAACCCCAGAGTCGGTCACGACTGGCCCGTACGGGCAGGGGTACCTTTACCTTTACCTTTACATGTTCAGGCTAAATAAAACAGGAATCAAGGAGGAATGCATTTAGCAAACCCTGGAGGTCATAAACAGGCAGTAAACAGGAAAGGGAGGACAGGCAAGGAAAGATAGTATTTACCATCTCCTTGTGAATTCTCTTCCTGGCCCTTAAGATTAACAAAAGCCTAAAGATTAACAAAATCTACATCAAGGCTACCTCCTTATCTTATGTACTGAGGATGCCTTATGAAGCAACTGGTCTGTGTTTTAGAATGCCTGTCAGGCAGAGAAAATGGGCAGTAGAGAAAATGGGGCAGAGATGCAGAGGCTTGTGGGATTTGATCAGAAATTATTCTCAATGACTCAAGCCTACTCAAGCAATGCTTTCATCGCTGACACAATGGCTTGCTCCATTTTTCATAATTTCATAGCAATCCCACCTGACCACCACATCGTGCCCAGCCAGTGGCTCTGGCGCCACCTGCTGTTGGCCTCCGTGCCTCCTGCCCTACCCAGTCCCACCAGCTGCTAGCTGCTCCTGGATCCCACGAAGACCCCATGCGTCGGAAAGGTACGCGAAGGGATGCCCGGCTTGTCCGTTGACCCTCTGCTCTTCCTACTTCTCTGGCAGCACTACCAAACCCAGGACATCCTGCGAGAGATGGAGAGTAAGTGTTGGCTCAGCCAGAACGAACGGGAGCAGCTGCACGAGGAATTGCGGATGTGCAAGGAGGAGATTGAGAGACTTAACGGCACCATCCCCATCGGAGGACGGGTAATTCCTCAGAGGCATTTGGGCACGTGTGTGTGTGTGTGTGTGTGTGTGGCGGGTTGCTCTGCTCGGTCCAGTGGGGAGCTGGGGGCTGGAGCAACCCTTTCCCTGAAGCAGAGGTGATTGATTAATTGATTGATTGACTGATTTCATTTCTATGCCTCTTTCCGTTCAAACGAACCCCAAAGCGGCTTACAAGCAACAAAGAGCAATAGCACGAACACCACAAGTACAGCATGAATCAGATAATAACGGGAAATTTGCTTCAAGTTTGAATTTGGGTGCAAAACATTTCCGAAATGCAGCTGTCCTCTCCAGACAGGCTTTTAACAACCAGCCGCCTCAGTGTCTCCACAGGGACATATTAATCGTTTTATTTGTTTATTTCATAAATAAATTTATGCACCGTTTGATTGGGGGTGGGGGTGAGGAGAGACATACCTCAATGCGGTTTACAAAGAGAAGGGAAAAATAAAATTAGCGGTAACAGCAATTCTTTGAAATGTTCAAAAGGTAAAACAGGCAAGAAATTGAAGGCAGGTTAAATCGCACATCCGCGTTCTGCATGTCTGGGTAAAGGTAAAGGGACCCCTGACCATTAGGTCCAGTCATGGCCGACTCTGGGGTTGCGGCGCTCATCTCGCTTTATTGGCCGAGGGAGCCGGTGTACAGCTTCCGGGTCATGTGGCCAGCAGGACTAAGCCGCTTCTGGCGAACCAGAGCAGCGCACGGAAACGCCGTTTACCTTCCTGCCGGAGCGGTACCTATTTATCTATTTGCACTTTGACGTGCTTTCAAACTGCTAGGTGGGCAGGAGCAGGGACCGAGCAACGGGAGCTCACCCCATCATCGTGGGGATTCAAACCGCCGACCTTCTGATCGGCAAGCCCTAGGCTCTGTGGTTTAACTCAGACCGCCACCCGTGTCTGGGTAGGCTTGACCAAACAGAAATGTTTTTAGCAGGCGCTGAGAAATATACAGGGAAGGGACCTGCCTGATGTCATCGGGCAGGGAGTTCGAAAGCGTAGGTGGCGTCGCACAGAAAGATTGATTTCTTACAAATGGGGAACAGGTATCACGCGGCACGTATGGCAGCGCCAGATACCACATGGGGATCAGTCGCCGGGGCACTTTTGGGGGTGCTGTGCCCACAAACGCCAGACAACAGGGTTCGAGAGACACAGCAATTCCTGCACAACATCTCGTGTGGTTGCTTTTTTAAACACACACACACACACACACACACACACATTGACTGACTCCAATTCCAGCACAATCGCAATTCTGAGCATTCCCCTTTCCCGGTGGGTGGTAGGAATTCTGTGTAGCCAGCTCCTTCCCAGACCCCCAAATTTTTCGGTGCAGAGTCATGGCACGCAGGTGGCTCTGAAGCAGGATCCGGGCCCGAAATTTCAGACCCCTGTCCCACACGGGCAGCCGAAACACCCTGTGGCCTAACTTCTTTCTTTCTCTCTCTCTCCTCTCTCTCTTTCTCTCGTCCCCTGCCTTGACTCATCTCCCCTCCGTGGTGTTTGTGGCGTCCCCTCCGCCCTCCATCCCACGCTCTCCCTCCCCACACTGCCCCCCGGAACCCCACAGGTCCCCCACGCGCCTGACCCTCCCGCCATCATCTCCCTCCCTCTCATAGGACTGGTTATCATAGTAGCCCTGCTTTGGTGCTGGCGGGCTGAGATGTCTTCCTAACTCCCTGAATCAGGTACTGGTATCATCCGCTTGGTCTGCTAGGCTGCGCTTGGCTTGTCTCCTGCATGAAGCAAGGACACACATTCCCCGTCCCCAACATTTGGTTGCTTTGTCGTTGTCATCGTCCCTCCCCCCGTCCCTCTTGCAGTCACACCATGCACCTGCCCTGCACCCCTCCCTCTCGCCTCCTTCCCCAACCCATCGCCTGCCGCACAGCCTGTTCCCTCTTCATAACAAATCATTTCCCCATGCTTGCATTTCCTCCTCCGGGGAGGCAGAGGAGGAACAAGCCAATTCCTTTTTTAATAAAAGACTTTGGGTTAGGAAAGCCTTTCCACAAGTTTTCCTGCTGGAGCTGATGGGAGCTCTAGGCAGTGCCGGATTTACGTACAGTGGTACCTCGGGTTAAGTACTTAATTCGTTCCAGAGGTCCGTTCTTAACCTGAAACTGTTCTTAACCTGAAGTACCACTTTAGCTAATGTGCTGCACCACTGGAGCACGATTTCTGTTCTCCTCCTGAAGCAAAGTTCTTAACCTGAAGCACTATTTCTGGGTTAACGGAGTCTGTAACCTGAAGCGCCTGTAACCTGAAGCGTATGTAACCCGAGGTACCACTGTATAAGCTAAACAAGCTATAGCTTAGGGCCCCACTCTCTTGGGGCCCCCCAAAAAATTAAAGGGGAAAAAACTTGGATGTACATTTCCAAAATATTAAAAAGGTAAAGGTGAAGCACCCCAGACAGTTAAGTCCAGTCGTGGCCGACTCTGGGGTTGCAGCGCTCATCTTGCTTTACAGGCCGAGAGAGCCGGCATATGTCCGCAGACAGTTTTTCCGGGTCATGTAGCCAGCATTAATAAGCCACTTCTGGCGAAACCAGAGCAGCGCACCCAAATGCCGTTTACCTTACCGCTGGAGCAGTACCTATTTATCTACTTGCACTTTGACATGCTTTTGAACTGCTAGGTTGGCAGGAGCAGGGACCGAGCAACGGGAGCTCACCCCATCGCGGGGATTCGAAACACCGACCTTCTGATCAGCAATCCCAAGAGGCTTAGTGGTTTAGACCACAGCGCCACCCGGACGTCCCAAAATATTACTTTGATAAAATACATATTTTGTTATGTGCAAATGGCTTGAGATACCTCTTAGGTCCATAAATCACTGTCTAGCATATATTCAATACAAAAAACAGCGACCGTTTGTTGTTGACAAAGGACAGCTGGACATAGAAAGGGCCCCATTACCTTCAGTAGCTGAGGGCCTTGTCAGACCTAAATCCGGCCCCGGCTCTAGGACAGAAACATCTGGAAGGGTTAAGAGGCGCTTCCTACAACTTCCCTTTGCAAAACCCGACAGCCAGGTTGCTCACCGGTTTGAGGATATAATGCCAATCCTGGCTGCCCATTACCGTATTTTTCGCTCCATAAGGCGCACTGGACCATAAGGCGCACCTAGTTTTTAGAGGGGGAAATCGAGAAAAAAAAATTGTATTCCCCCCCACCCCCAGCCCCAAAGAGCGCACAGCCTGTTCACTTCTCCCAGAGCTTCTGGGGCTGCCGGGGGAAGCCCGGGTCCCCCCCCCCCAGCCCCAAAGAACAAAGAAGCCAAGTTTTGGCTTCTGCCAAAGCCACGCACAGCCTCTCCCGGCCAGAGGGGCTGTGCGCGGCTATGGCAACACCCCCACCTCCCGCAAAAGCCCACAGGAGCCGCGCACCCTTTAAGGAGCGCGTGGCTCCTTCGGGCTTTTCTACGAGGAGGGAGAAGGGACTGACTGGCTGCGTCAGTCCCTTCTCCTTCATGGGGAACAGCCCGCAAGAGCCGCACAGAGCTTGTGTGTGGCTCTTGGGGGCTTTTCCTGTCTGCCTCCCCCCTGCATTTGCTCCATAAGACACACACAGATTTCCCCTTACTTTTTAGGAGGGGGAAAGTGTGTCTTATGGAGTGAAAAATACGGTAGTTTCCCAGCTCAAAAGTGCTGCTTTTTGACCTACAAGCCTTAAACTGCTCAGGACTGCGATGCCTCAAGGACCACCTCTAACCACATGAACCGACCTGGATCCAGAGATGACCCTCTGAGGCTCTTCTTCGCCTGCCTCCATCACGAGAGGCTCATAGGGTGGCAGCACAAATAGCTCAGTTGGTTAGAGCGTGGTTCTGATCACGCCAAGGTTGCAGGTTCGATTCCCATATGGGGCAGCTGCATAGTCCTTCATTGCTGGGGATTGGGCTGGATGATCCTCAGAGTTCCCTTCCAACTCTATGATTCTGTGATTCTAACAGGGCCTTTTCTGCAGTGGCTCCCTGTTTGTGGAATGCTCTCCCCAGGAGAGGCTCGCCTGGCACCTTCGTTCAGGCATAATGACGACAATAATAATATTAACCAGGCAAAAAACATTCCTCATTTGGTTGATTCAATTTACATCCTATGCCCTTTTAAAATGTATTTTTTGGGGGGGCGTATTGGGTTGCTGTTTTTATTTTTACAGTGGTACCTCGGGTTACATACGCTTCAGGGTACATACGCTTCAGGTTACCGACTCCGCTAACCCAGAAATAGTACCTCGGGTTAAGAACTTTGCTTCAGGATGAGAACAGAAATCGTGCTCTGGCGGGGCGGCGGCAGCAGGAGGCCCCATTAGCTAAAGTGGTGCTTCAGGTTAAGAACAGTTTCAGGTTAAGAACGGACCTCCGGAACGAATTAAGTACTTAACCTGAGGTACCACTGTATTAGGTATTTTGTGGTTTTAGATCTTGATTTTATTCTGTGAACCGCCCTGAGACCCCAGGTATAGGGCGGCATATAAATTCAATTAACAACAACAACAGCAACACCACCACTTTATTTATTTATATGCTGTCCATCAGACTGGGTTTCCCCAGCCACTCCGGGCGACCTCCAACAGTCAAAAACGTTCCTCTTCAACCAGGCCTCTCTCTGGCTTTTGACAGAATCATAGAGTTGGAAGGGACCAACGAGGGTCATCTAGTTCAACCCCCTTGCAGTGCAGGAATCTTTTACCCAGTGCAGGTCTCGAACCCACAACCCTGGCATAGCTACTGACTGAGCTATACTGGCTTGTAACTACCGGTGGCTTTCCAGAATAAGGGAGGGTGTTTTAACGTATTTCTCTCCCACCCGGTTTTAATGCATGTCTTTCTTCCTTTTCTTTCTTCCTTTTGTAAGTCGCTTTGAGTTGCCCTGGCAAAATAAAAATAAAAATAGGGTGACTAATACATTTAATAAATAAATAAATAAATAACTGACCTACCAGCTCAGAAATAAATAGACAGATAGATAGATAGATAGATAGATAGATAGATAGATAGATAAATAAATAAAGACTAAGCCGCCACCTCAGAAATAAATAAATAGATAAATAAATAAATGACTGAGCTACCGGCTCAGAAATAAATACATATATGAAGGGTAAAGGGACCCCTGACCATTTGGTCCAGTCGTGGCCGACTCTGGGGTTGCGGCGCTCATCTCGCTTTATTGGCCGAGAGAGCCGGCGTACAGCTTCCGGGTCATGTGGCCAGCAGGACTAAGCCGCTTCTGGCGAACCAGAGCAGCGCACGGAAACGCCGTTTACCTTCCCGCCGGAGCGGTACCTATTTATCTACTTGCACTTTGATGTGCTTTCAAACTGCTAGGTTGGCAGGAGCAGGGACCGAGCAACGGGAGCTCACCCCGTCGTGGGGATCCGAACCGCCGACCTTCTGATCGGCAAGTCCTAGGCTCTGTGGTTTAACCCAAAGCGCCACCTGCGTCCCTAAATAAATAGATAGATAGATAGATAAATAAACAAATAAATAAATAAATAAATAAATGACTGAGCTACCAGCTCAGAAATAGATACATAGATGATAGATAGATAGATAGATACAGTAGATGGCTGAGCTACCAGCCTTCCTAGGAATCACCTTCATAAGAACGTAAAAGGCTACAGGATCAATCCAATGGCCCTTCATTGTAGCGCCCTGTTCTCACAGCGGCCAACCAGATGTCTGGCGGCGATCCAGCAATTGGGATTCGAACACGAGCCCCCCGCCCCCCTGCGTGCCGAAAGCGCGGGTTGCGATGCACGCCTGCGGATGTCCGTGTGGTTCAATTAACCCTAGTGCATGGAGCGGGGTTGGAGCGAGGCGGGTGGGTTTTAAGGCTCCGTCGCTGACCCCCCCTTTCTCCTCCTCCTCCCCTGCAGGTCCCAGCCGGAGGGATGAAGCCCCTCGCTCTCTTCGCCGTCCTTGCCGGGGGCCTGCTCCTCTACCCCTGCGTAAAGAGATACACCAGCAGCTGGATGCCGCCCTAAGGAGCCTGCGCACCTGGACACCTGCCCCTCGAAGAGGGGGCCCCTTGCGCCACGTACCCCTCCCCACCCCAACTCTGTGAGGACTGAGCACCTGTCCCCCCCACGCCCCCCATTAACCCAACCGCTGCTCGGAAGGCCGGTCTCGCCATCAGCCGTGCCATGCGACCTGTCACCCATCATCAGTTATCCATTCCCCTCCCTTTCCTGCTGCTGCTGAGGATGAGCTGAGGTGGGTTTTTTGGGGGCTTCCAGCTTCCCACCTGCCCTGCCCCCTCCCCTGCAGCCGGGGACCTCTGGGGCACGGGCCCTGGTCTCCCCATCAGTGGTCCTAACCTGGAGGAGCCCAGGCGTTGGCTGGGAGGGAAGAGAGATGGTGGTTAGGAGTTCATCTCACCTCCTGGTGGCCCCCACTGGAAAAAGCAGGACCTGGGGACCCCATGGTACCTCTCTCCTCTTTTACCCCTCCCCGGCTCTTCTGTGCCAGTCCGAGGGGGCAACCGAGAGCAATACCTGCCCTCTGGGTGGCAGACCTCTGCAATACCCGGAAGGACCTGATGCACTTTCCCAGCAGGAAAAGTTGGCAGCCAGGGTCGGGATGAAGAGGTGTGGGGAGCTGGGGGGGGCACAATTTCCTCTAGGCAATATTTAAAGTCTGTTTCAACACACTGTGAACGGGAAGCAACTTCCGGAGGGACCCGGAGCAGAACGGATCGACCTGTGAATTTCTTTCATCCTCCGCTCCATCAGGGATAACCTTTCTCGCTTATCCCCAACCCGGGCCGGATCCTGAATCTATGCATTCCACCCCTAGCTCCGTCCCCCTCCTCTTTCTCCAGCGTGGTCTCGTCCCACAGCTGTGCACCGTTTCCTCCTGGCCCTAGGAACGCTCACAGAGTTTGTGTGTGTGTGTATGTGTGTCCCTCTTTGCACCTTCGACGCAGGTATGATGGTTTGGGGACCACCGGGATGCAGAGAGGTCCCTTAAGGCCTGTTTGGGTCACCCGGGACTGTCCTCGTCCGACAGCGCTTCCAGCAATCGAGGCCTCACCCAGGTAGCAACGGGTGGGGGAGCCACGGCATGTGGACTGTAGCGCAGCCCTCCGGGATCCGGGGCGCCAAATCCTTGCCCTGCATGTTTCGTGGGCACCCGTCCTCCGTCACCTCACGGTCCGTCGCCCCCTCCTCACCTCTTCCACGTCTCGTTCGTCGAGCTCTGCTCCCGACTTCTGTCCGAGAAGGGGGCCACCCCCGAAAAGCCGCTGGAGACCGTCTGCAGATCTTTCTCTTTCGTCTTTGTTCTATGTTGTAACTCAGTAAAAAAAGGAAATGGGAAAACAAAGACCTTTCTAAATACATGAGGCTTGGCTCTGTTCTCTCCTGGCTGCGTTATTTTGTGCGAAGGCAGTGTGGGAATGTTCAGGGTGGCCTGAGAGGATATAAAGGTAAAGGTACCCTGACCATTAGGTCCAGTCGTGACCGACTCTGGGGTTGTGGCACTCATCTCGCTTTATTGGCCCAGGGAGCCAGTGTACAGCTTCCGGATAATGTGGCCAGCATGACTAAGCTGCTTCTGGTGAACCAGAGCAGCGCACGGAAACACCGTTTACCTTCCCGCCAGAGTGGTACCTATTTATCTACTTGAACTTTGACGTGCTTTCAAACTACTAGGTTGGCAGGAGCAGGGACTGAGCAACGGGAGCTCACCCCGTCGCAGGGATTCAAACCGCCAACCTTCTGATTGGCAAGTCCTAGGCTCTGTGGTTTAACCCACAGCGCCACCCGCATCCCTTTGAATAAACCTACACAGCTTTATTATTGGCTCTCCTTATATTCTTACGCATTGCGGGCGTTAACGAGGATTTTCTCGCTCCTGGGAATCACACTTTGCCAGACCTTGCTTGGGCAGCTTGGGGAAAAAACCCTGGGGCCTTTGAGGAGTGGCAGAGAAGCAACAACGGCTGCGATGTGTCTGGGTCTCAAATGATCTGGCAGGCTCCGAAAGGTCCACGTGAGTCACAGGTCTATAATTGCTGCCCCAGGTGGCCAGGGGAATGAGATGGGTACCCGCCAGAGGTGCCCTCTGGGAAGGCTGCAGCTCAGAACGCTCACCCACCTCCCAGCCTATTCCTCAGTCTCCCCCTCCAAAGAGGCGAAGGGGCTGCTGCTTCTCTCTAGCGCATGACCTGCTTCAGAGCGTCTGGAGCACAAACTGTTCTTGGGGGCCGCGCATGCTGTGCCTTACTCACAAGTCCCTTTTTGAGGCCAGGTGCTCTGGGACAGAACCTCATCGGCTATATCGAGCGAGGAGCGTGGCCTCTGGCCAGCCCATCGCCCTAGCCAGAGAATGAAATGCGTGTGTGTATTTGGGGTGGAGAGGAGGAGGGAAAAGAAGGGCCGAGTTTTAGGGGGCTTGCGAGGAACACGGGTGACGCTGTGGTCTAAACCACAGAACCTAGGACTTGCCGATCAGAAGGTTGGCGGTTCGAATCCCCGCGACGGGGTGAGCTCCCGTTGCTCGGTCCCTGCTCCTGTCAACTTAGCAGTTCGAAAGCACGTCAAAGTGCAAGTAGATAAATAGGTACCGCTCCGGCAGGAAGGTAAGCGGTGTTTCCGTGCACTGCTCTGGTTCGCCAGAAGCGGCTTAGTCCTGCTGGCCACATGACCCAGAAGCTGTACACCGGCTCCTTCAGCCAATAAAGTGAGATGAGCGCCGCAACCCCAGAGTCGGCCACGAACCAGAGCAGTGCACGGAAAAACGCCGTTTACCTTCCCGCCGGAGCAGTACCTATTTATCTACTTGCACTCTGACGTGCTTTTGAACTCCTAGGTTGGCAGGAGCAGGACTGATGTGTAAATCCGTTGACTGTCCCGGGGAAAAGGGGACGTCTGGTAACCTTAGACTAAACAACAAATACTATTTGGGCAACAACATTCAGCCCCAAACTGGCAATTGCAGGGTGCACAATTACGTTGCACTGCGGGGTCTCACACAACAAAGGATCCCTTTCTTAATGGAATCGGGCTTTTTTCCAGCAAGGAAGGCAACGAGAAAATGCACTGCACAGTGTGGGATGACACCGTCATATTTGCAACTCCATCTAACTTCCCTGCAAACGAATCACAGTAGATGTTGATGTTGTCTGATCTCCCTCCAGACCAATCAGGATCAATTTACTGTATGTTTTTGGGGGCTGGTCGTTTGCCCACTGTGCTTTTGGACACGCCCTAATGCCGTGCGACCCTTCACATCAGTCATGTGCTAATAAAGCTTGAGAAAACTAAGGATTTGCTTGCCAAAAGCTGCCGCCACTCATGGTTAGGTGGAAGCGCGATGAATTTTTGCCTAAATGTGAATGCGTGGAACCCCTCTTATTAGAGGAGCTCAGAGGGGAAATGGCTGGAAGAGGAATAAGGTCAACAAGTGTTGCAAAAGGTTCTTCTTCTCTTTGGCAGTCCCTCGTAGCCGAGTAAGAGTGCCACACGCTGATTCCCGGACCGTCCACGGGCCAGATTGAGAAGGCGATTGGGCCGGATCCGGCCCCTGGGCCTTAGGTTGCCTACCCCTGCTCTTGACTCAGGGTCCCTTAAGAGTTATGACTCTACAATTCTAAGTCTCTTTGTAAGACAATGGCCTTGGCTGCCCAAGTTAAGTGTCCTAATCAGCATCCCAGAAGAACCAGCCAGGTTGCAGGAGCTACAACTAAGTGAGGGAGACTTCACCTGGCTGCTAGGCAGGAGAACAAAAACAGAGATTTATGCATGAGCTGAGCTGAAAGCAGCCTGGAAGCTGGAACCACAGAGACCTCCTTGCTCTGTGCTGGATCCAAAGGTGCGACTGAAGGAGAAGCGAGATCTGTTCGGGGGTTAATGCTGTGAGCCCCTCTGTCTTATGCTGCTGCTTCTTTTGCGATCCCTCGTAGCTGAGTAAGATTGTCTTCCATGAACACAGTCTTAACAATGAGACCTTAAGTGACTGTGGAGGCCAATTCTGGATCCACACATCCTCCACAGTGGGGACATAGGTTTCCAGGTGGGAGTTGATCACGGTGTGGATTTGCCAAGCGTGCCTTCTTCTTAGCCCGTTTCTCCCTTGCGTCCTGAGTTCGAGTGTCTTCAAAGTCCATGACACCTTTGGTAAAGGCTGTTCTCCAACTGGAGCACTCGCAGGCCGGTGTTTCCCAGTTGTCAGTGTTTATACTACATTTTTAAAGATTCGCCTTGAGAGAGTCTTTGAACCTCTTTTGTTGACCACCAGCATTACGCTTTCCATTTTTAAGTTTGGAATAGAGGAGTCTCAGATTGTACATATGCGCAGATAAAACCACATATCCTGAAGACACCACAATCTCCACCTGCCTTCATTCCAAGGAAACCAATACCTGGGTAACTGCCCAGAACCCCTGAAGTCTCGGAGTTTGGGGTGGCACATAACCAGTGGCATAGTGTGTGGGCAAGAGGGGCGACTGCCCTGGGTGCAAAATTCTAAGAGGGCACAACCAGGTACCCCCACAAGAGGCTCCCTTATTGGGCTGAGTTTCTGGGGCAGTGGAGAGGGAAGCCGTGTCCAGGCTGGGCCTTTGGGGCAGGGTCAGACCTGGGCTGACCCCTGGGCTGACCCCTGGGCTGACCAAGAAGTCAAGGCCAAGGCACACAGCAGCAGGGCGCCACCCCAGAAACAGCGTCAGTACGTTTCCGAGCACAATTCAAAGTATTGGTGTTGACCTTTAAAGCCCTACATGGCCTCAGTCCACTATATCTGAAGGAGCGTCTCCATCCCCATCATTCTGCCTGGACACTGAGGTCCAGCGCCGAGGGCCTTCTGCCGGTTCCCTCACTGCGAGAAGCCAAGTTACAGGGAACCAGGCAGAGGGCCTTCTCGGTGGTGGCACCCGCCCTGTGGAACGCCCTCCCACCAGATGTCAAAGAGAACAACAACTACCAGACTTTTAGAAGACAGCTGAAGGCAGCCCTGTTTAGGGAAGCTTTTAATGTTTGATGCATTACGGTGTTTTAATATTTTGTTGGAAGCCGCCCAGAGTGGCTGGGGAAGCCCAGCCAGATGGGCGGGGTTTAAATAATAAATTATTATTGTTGTTGTTGTTTAGTTGTTTAGTCATGCCCGACTCTTCGTGACCCCCTGAACCAGAGCACGCCAGGCACCCCTGTCCTCCACTGCCTCCCACAGTTTGGTCAAACTCATACTGGTAGCTTTGAGAACACTGTCCAACCATCTTGTCCTCTGTTGTCCCCTTCTCCTTCTGCCCTCCATCTTTCCCAACATCAGGGTCTTTCCCAGGGAGTCTTCTCTTCTCATGAGGTGGCCAAAGTCTTGGAGCCTCAGCTTCAGGATCTGTCCTTCCAGTGAGCACTCAGGGCTGATTTCCTTCAGAATGGAGAGGTTTGATCTTCTCACAGTCCATGGGACTCTCAAGAGTCTCCTCCAGCACCAGAATTCAAAAGCATCCATTCTTCGGCGATCAGCCTTCTTTATGGTCCTACTCTCACTTCCATACATCACTACTGGGAAAACCATAGCTTTTATTATTAATATTAGGAGGGGGCATGACCAGAGGGCAATGGCAGGACACACAAGGGTGAGGGCAGCCCTGAGCTCTTCTAGGGCAGGTCCCCCCAGCGTGCCCCTCTCGCGCCTTGTCACCGCCACCTGGTGGAGCCTCGCCTTTGCTATCAGCCCTTGTGTGGCACCCTTTGCCCGCTCCGTCTCCTCCAGGCGAGAGGTTGAGCATCTTGGTGCATGTTGCAAGCGCTGTGGCTGCATTCTGCATTCACCCTCTGTGCAAGTTCTGCATTTGCCCCACCCTGGGATGCGCCTCTACTCTGGCTGCCCAGTCCACCAGGGCGGAGCAACACCAGCAACCCACGCTATGTCACTGCCCGAAACCATATAAATTCTGGCCCTCCTCACTCTCCCGGCACCGCCAGAAGACCGTGGACCTCACAAACCGCTTTGCTTGTGCCCATTTTTTCTTCTTTGCTTATTTCTTTTTTTTTTAGTTTTTATTAAATTTTATTTAACACAATTATTACAAAATACAAGCAAAATACTGCAAATACATACATATATATTTCAGATAAGCACACATATATAAAAAAGCACAAAAAGAAAAAAGGAAGAAAAGAAAAAATAAGAAGAAAAATTGGAAGAATTTCTTCCAAATTTATTCTACAAATATCTCAACAATGAAATTTAATGGATTGATTTCCATCGTTTGCACTGCACTTCCTATATATGTTTTAAGCAAAATTGTATCTGTTATTCCGTATTTCCCCCATGCAATCTCATACAAATATTCTAATCAA